GATAGATATTGTTCTGACTTTTTTTTAAATTCTTTTTTATGAATCAGTTGAAATTTAAAAAATTTTTTAATTTGCCACATTTATGTAAATATGTTTATAGACTTAATGGATGTCTTTATGGGTCGTTGCTTATTCGGTTCAAATTTTTGAGAAGAGCTACTAATCTATTGGCCTTGTCTTCTGAACAAAATATTCAATCCAAGTGTGAATATCCAAAAGTGCATAGGACTAGAATGATATGTCTATCTTCAGTGAGTGTTGTCTGGCCAGTGAGTGCTTCCCGCATCGATTCTCGTAAACAAAATGTATAAACCCAAACAATTAGTTGCAAGAAGAGGAATGAACTTCCTTTTGTAAGAGTGATTTGCTATTTGCTAATTGTTTAAATTTGTTTCGAATTCTCTTCTGTCAAAATGATGATTTTCTATTCCCTTCTCGTCATTTATAGTACCCAGAAGAACATAGATCCTTAGCAGAGACAGAGAGAGAACCAATATTTGCTTTACCTTTATAAGATATATATTATAAGATATAATAAAATATATTAACTATAAGTTTTCAAATTAATCTAAATTTCGTTTATAAAATGAAATCAATTTTTTTCCTATTTTCAAAACGAATGAATGTACCAAAGCTTTGTAATCATTCCGTGTCTGTTTCTGATGTCAGTGCTTTTTCTATTGTAACTTCGAACGACCTATCATAATTTATTCTTCTGATTCCATCAGGTAGTTTTTAATAGTAATTCCTAACGACCTTTTATACTCCAACCTCTGATTCAACCTCTGTTTATAGTTGTGAATACAGAGGAATTTCTATAATATTTCTGAAACCATGTCATAATGAAGATGAAGAACAAACATTATTGCTGAATGGATACGAAATATTATAATTGATTCATTTCTCAGTAAATAATTCATTCGTTCTAAATTTTTCAACTCAGTTCCTTTTGTCACGCTCTACTTTTGGATTCCAACAATTTTTGTACAACAATTCGATTGGTTTTTAAAACTTCTGATCTCGACGTGATGCAAATGACAAATAATATAAAACCTACTATTCTCGAGAAATCACTTCTTCAGTCTTTTAATTATGCTATCGCCGTCATTACAAACTACAAAAAAATTGTCTTTGTATTATTTTTGTGCATGTGCCTAAATTACAGGACATTTTGACGACCAATACGTGTTTCTATTTCATATGTTGGAAACATTTTGTAAACCTCACATTTGAAACTACGTTAAATTGATGGGGAAAGTTTGCAGTTGAAAACTTTTCTCTGAAGGCCATTTCTTATCGTCCACTCTATTTCTGTCTTGTCTTCAGCAAACCGAGGACAACTAATTATGTAAGCAGAATAAAAAGAAAAATTCTCTGTTTCCTTGAAAATAGAAAAAGGAAATGATAAAAGAAAGAGGAGATTCTCATGACCAATAGGGCGCAATGTGCCACTTTCTCTCTCTCCCTCTCTCTCCTAAATCTATTAAAAGAGAAGAACCAGCAAGTGAGTTCCCTTCCTCATCCTTCTTTCTCTTAGAAATATATTCATCGTGTTTTATATGCTGAATTGCATTGGCGCAACTAAGATAATGAAAATCAACTGCTATAAGCAAGCAGTTGCGGTTGCCATACGGCTTTTGCATTTGTCAAAATGGCAATAGTTTGCGCATTTGGCGGAAAGTGTTTTCGGAAATTCATATAAAAATTTCTATGTTAAACATTTCTATATTTTTAAAGCTATTCATGATTTTGAAGCTGTAATTCTCAAAGGAAACGAGAAATTGACAAATCTTAACATGCTTATGCTAGCCGACATATAACAGTGTTATCTCATCTCCAGACGAAGCTAAGGAGGAATTTATTGAAAAATGTTGAAGTTTATCAAAATTACAATAATTTATATATTATCTCGCATATGTTTTGGATTTTTATGATTATCATTCAGACGTGATCCATCTGCTTTTTCTCTACGTTCTTTAACTTCAAGAAATATAATAAAAGTTTGTAGATATATTTGTAATTTTGTAATTTTGAAGAACAAAAACATGAAGTAATAAATTTAAATTTATCACAGAAAAATGTTAGGAAGTATGATCACTTTAGCTGATCACATCCTTACACGAATAAGCAGTTCCTTTACACCATAATTGTTCTGAATTTTGATTCCCATTTTTGAATTTCGTCCAATCATTTCATAGTTTCATAGAAATACCAGTCATTTCTTGTTCATTATTTGTTTATGAAAGAAGACATATGGTTAAAGCTTAACTTCATTATGCTTCTCTTTTTCTAAAGTGAAATGAGCATTTTGCTCGTTTCTGTTAGTCCTTCTCATTTGGCACTTATTGCAGACTGAATAGAATTAATGTAAGATAAAAGAAATGAACTGAGAACTTATTATCCTTGTTAGATTTGTACCAGTTGTGAGATATGAAAGTGTCAAAATTCGAGCATTCATGAATCCGCCGTCATTTTTAGAGAGATCGGATCGAAATAGTAGCATCTTCTTGAAGCGTTAATTGTTTGTAACACGGAGGTTTATTTGTGGAAAATGTGATTGATTCAATAACTATAAAATAAATATAAATCGTTTAGATATTTTTGACATAAGAGGCTATAATGAAATTGTATGTAGTGTCAATGTAATCACTGCAACTAATATAAAGAGAGAGACAAGCTAATAATTAAGGAATATATTGGTGACATTAGCTTCAAAAGATGGTCCTTTTTTGCACAGGAGATTTGCTTACTTAAATAGCTTTTTGATAATGTGATAGAATTGTAACATCAAATTGTTGATTTGATGAATAAATTTGCTGAATTGGAATCGGAATCTTTTATTCGTCTTTTTCCTTCTTTTATTCTTCCTTCTCTCTTCATTATTCATACAATGATTTCAACAGTTGAAGAAAATTTTCTGTAGAACGAAATGATAAATGAATAGTTGTTGTTAATTGGAGTGGGAATGAAAAGCAGATACAATGGCAATTATGCATTTTTGCGCACTTCGATAAATAACTGACATTACCTGTTTTGTTTTGAAGCCAATGTCATCAACATATTGCTCATTGCCAGTTGCTCCTCTTTTTTCTTCGTTCCATCCTGAAGTCGTTTATCAAAACAGTTTTAGCCTAGACATCTTCAAATTTTTTGTTGCCAATATCTCATTCTGTTATTTGCCAATTGCAAAAAGTCTCCATTTACGTTACTACCGTGAAATATTCCCATCACATTATTATTCCTAGCAACACAAATGAAAAACTTGTAGGAATATTTAATTCATCGAAGTTTTCATTGTTTTCGAAATTTAGTGTCGATTATAATATCTAATGGAAGAAAATTCTGACCACGAATACTTAGTCTTTTGGCTTTCTTCAATTTTAGTTAATTTTCAGAGAGTGATTAGACTTGAAGTAATTAGTAGTTATATGTCCGGTTGCTGATGTACACAAATTTATTCCCATTGTAGTGTATGTAATTGCATTTGGATGGCAAGAGATTACCATTATTCCCACTGTTCCTTGGATACCAACAAGTCAATTCACCGATGATTTTATGGATTTTTGGTTGACTTCACAACGAAATAAGTGTATTTTCACATAGTGTATCGCAAAACTCATCCTTTTAGTATCATATTAAATTAAGGAACTTCTAGTCTTACGTTAATTTCCTGATCTACCTAATCTCGAGGAAATGCGTTGGAAATGAATATGATAGCTGAAAAGATTGTGCTTTAATTACCATATGGTCGCTATTCTCTACAATTTTGTTAACTGCCAAATTCCATCAAAATGTTAGTTTTCCATTGCTTTTCTCCGCTACAGCTTTTAGTTTATTTTTTGGCTTGTAATGTTTTCTGCATATCAGTCTATCATTCTTAGCGTAAAGTCGTTAGCGTAACATTTCTGATATAACTCAAACTGAAACAGTTAATTTGATTATGTGATATCAGGGAACTCTTCATTATTCGTTGATATCATCCCTTATTTTAATTTGCATACTTGTTAACTTATATGAAATGAAGTAAGCCGAGATTTTCTTAAGTTTTTCTAGTCGTTAATTTGATATAAACGTAAGAAACAAAAATGAAAAGTATGCAAATGAGATAATAAAGCAAAGAGACTCGATGATCACAATCAGTAAGAAGTGATGGATTATCAATACCAGCAAGGTTGCCATCATTTCATCAGTTCTCATTTCTTTTCATTCTTCGATTTTTCTCGTGCTAGCTCACTCTTATAACCACTATCGGCTAATATGAATATGTTGTGCATTAATTCTAGACGAAACGAGACAATTTCAGCAATACAACCAGTTGACTGCAGTTGTGCTTGTTGTTCTCCATTTTTTTTGACTTTGTATTAGCAAAATCTCATAAATTTTTAATTCTAATTTCACTGTTTTTTTCGGCAATTTTTATCCTTCACGGATTTCAAAGTCAATACTTCAAGTCCCTTTATATTTTGCCCATTTCAAATCTGTTTGAGTGTCTTCGATTAAATAATATATCACATTTGTTTTATATTATTTGAAACATTCTCTCGGATGAGAGAGTAACTAGCATTTAAGAAAGGTTTTTAGATGATTTAGTGAAAGTTTTGAATGTTTAAATATTACTCACTTCGATCTCTTTAACGTGTCAACAACCGTTAACTACTCGTAAACAGTGACAAAATTAGTTTTTGTCAAAGCCGAATTCATCTTCTGTTTGTTTTGACTTGTCTCTCTTTGTCATCTAAGTCGTTCCTTGTGACATTCCATTCCTCTTGCTGTCTCTCCTATCCTGCACGAATTAGCTCTTCAAGAAATTGCTTATCTGATATTTCCGTCCTTCCACTTTCAGATAGTACTTTCCACATTTCCTTACCACTTCCATATAACTAACTTTTATAGTATACTAATTTAGAGAACTGAGGAAGAGGTTCTGTCAAGTTAATTTTGTCATTTGATGATTATACGCCATCCTTCCTGAAAATGTCTGCTTGCTTAAACGATTTGAAATGAGCGCTTGCGGATGGAATTATGGTAATACAGTACTTTTTCAGTTAGAGGAGCAAAATGAACGTTTACGGCTACAAAATTTGAAGTGTACCGCTCAGCTACAGGTGCTCAAATCGTGCGCTGATCGAGCAAAGCATTGGCAGACTTCTGCTCTCTTCTCCAATTCCGTGACGGTATAGTTATCATTCCGTACGTTTGATACGGTGTCAGTGATTGAATCAATTGCAGCTAACCATTTCGTCTTTTAACGAAATGGATGTAGCAGCTTTCGGCATATATTAGCGAAATATCTTTGAACAAATATGCGGGATGGGCATTGGCGTTTCGAGATTGGCTGCCTTTACTGTCGTTAATGACGATATCGTGAGATTGTGATGTTTGACTTCCAGTAATTCTTGATTGGTACATTTTCAGGGAGCACTGTCTTTAGCGATGATGGACCGAACATCGGATGACAGCGGTTTAACATCTGACGATACATGGGAGAAAAAGATAGACCATATGATGATGGCGCAATCAGCTTCTGCTCTCGGTAAAGGCAAGTCACTGCGACATTCGAAAAAGCCTAGACTGATTCTCTGATATTGCTGGATAATATTTTATTTAAAGTATTTTCAAATTTTATTACATTTAAATGGTCGATGTTTGAGTCATTTTTATCCTAATCAGAACGAAACGCATCATTAATGTGCCAATCGATGTATGTTAGCCGTATATGCTAACACACATCTATATTTTCTCGAGGAGTTTTCAGGTTAGTAGGTTGTTCATCAGAAGACATAATTCAGTCTATTTCATTATTAAAGGTCTATTTTATTTAAGTCAAACCAATTGAGTATTAAAAATCATTTCTGAAAATCTCATTTACTTAAGCTTATTATCTCATTGTCTTGAGCCTATTCTTATTACCATTTAAGGTCAGAGCTTCCAACATTATATAACTAGGAGAACTTTCGATGGAAAAAGTTTTTTTTTTATTTCCATTTGAAAACAGGGACCAAACATTATACTTCAATATAATTTTTAAATCATTTAGGAAATTTGCAAAAAGAGGAAGCTAAGTAATTCAAACACTCAATATAAAATATTGAATTCAAAAGCGAATTACTATGTTCTTTATTACTGAAAAGATACTACAAACATTTCTAGCTTCTGAAATTCAAACTGTTTTTTTTATTTTTCCTGCATTCTTGCGAAAAATTTAATTTCTTATTTTCAGTTCGTATGCACAGTTCATCGCAAGGAAGAGGAGAAAAGCAGAGCGACGGAACGTCATCAACTACTGATTCTTCACCACGTGAAGAGAAATTGAAACCAATACCAACTCCGCGAAAAACAAAGCCTTCAAGGCCACTTGATCCAATAACCGTAAGACTTTGTTTTCATAAATTTTAGAAATCAATTTGGTTTAAGCGTTTTTCATATATTCATTTTGTTGAGAAGTTTGAAGGAAAGGTTATGATATACTTTTCAAAAATCGTTCTAGTTTATCATATTGATTCACCTTGTTCTCAACTGGATAGCAAAAGAAATGAAACATCTGTAAATATTTAGAGAGTGTTAATTTGTATATTGTAAAAGTGAAATTAGAAGTGCTTTTGCAATTCGTCAACAAAAAAAGAAATTTCTCCGCTACTATTTGGCATTGAGTTCATAGAAATGTTTATATATATATATTGCATCTCTTTCTTTTTTAGTTCAAGCGCACTATTTGAAATGCTTCTATATTTAGAATTATTTTCAGTTTCAAAATAAAAAAGTTTGATTTGTCCACATAAACTAAACGCATTCTAAAATCTAAAATGAGTAGTACTGCAATTGCATGCTGCAATGGTTGTTTCTCTTTACCGTTTTCGTTTTTTAAATCGCTCAAAGAATTTTCGATTGCTTGCCACGTTCATTTTTTTATTTTTTTTTTAATTTGGTAATTAAAACTAATGTTTTGACAATTTAAATTATGAAGCAATTGTTTGACCTTTTGGATTGAATTCAAATAATTTAAATTACGGTATTTTTTATATTAAAATATATTAGAATGGATTAGGATTAGACAAGAAATTTTTTTGTCAGTGATTAGAATTTTTTCTTCCTGCAGTATTTTTAATTAAGTTAAAAAAAATGATAAGATATCTCTTGGCGGTCTAAATAATTGCTCAAAAGCAGGTGTTAAAGAGGAGGCTGTGAAAATCTATTTGCCTGATAACTAGTTTCTAGGATTTTTTTGCTCCGTATTGTTAGAGCCTCTGTTTCATCGCTTGTTGTGTGGTTAAGTTTTGGAGATTTATGTGAAATGTTCAGAAGTGGGAAAGTAAAATAAAGTGTCGGCGCTTGTGTTTGCACATTTTTAATTTTTCATTTCTTTTTTCCTCATACTTCTCCCATCTTCTCAATCACCTATCATGTTCAGATGCTTCATTACTTCTCTTTTTTGAAATTCCTTTCATACCATTTTTGTTAGGTTTTTTTTTTTTTTTTAACTATTCGTTGTTTATCAATTCATTTGTTACTCTAATTTATAGGAATGAGCTCTGTTCATTCATTGATGTGTTTAATGTCTTCTTATTGGTTATGCCAATAAGAAGACATTAATATGCCATCTTTATATCACTCATGATATCAACAAAGCCTTCGAAAGTCACTTCTCCAATAGATCGTAAAATTTCGCGTGGTCAGCTGACAGGGAAATGATCCCTAATTATTTCATAATATATGGACTTTATAAATATCTTTTCGCATCTCAAAAAATAATTACGCTTAACCACTTAACTTCTTTGGAAATAAATCTGTCGTTTTTGATATATCAGTTTTTTTTTTAAAGTAGCACTTCAGGTGTAACTTAAAGTTTCGACTCTATCTTTGTCGCTGTTTGCAAAAATGTGTACTCTGTCTTAAGAGCTTATCTAAATTCTTCCTTAAGTATGCTCTTAAATAAAGTTAGGAATGGACCGAAGCAAATTTTGTTTCAGATATTTATAATAGATTGTTACTTTTTGAATATCTTAAAAATCTTTTGAATCAGCAAACTTCAACATGAGATTTGAATAAAATGACTAAGATCATTTGGTTTTTCACAATCCCATCGACAATCAGTTTAATATACAGAAAGAAAAAGTCGACGTTTCAAGTTTCAGATTGAAAGGGATAGTTTGAACTCGTATGGCGAGGAAAATGATTATAGAGAGGATGATGAGTTTTTCGATGAAATCGATTATTCGGAGTCTCCTGAAAAGTACGCTTTCCATTATTTTTGTTGACTGTTTTATGGCTATTTTTTTCGAATGTAATAACAAATCATCAGAATTATATACCACCGTATACAATAACGAACGTTAGTTTTGAAAAATAAAATGATGGATAAGTAAAATAGGTAAAATGTCGTATATGTTGGAAAAAGTAACCATTATGAAGAAAGTCGACTGGCAAAGACGTGAAAAGAGAAATAGAAAAATGCGAATCCAAATTTTCGTAGCATTTTTGACTATACCTTAAGATTTTAGGCTGTACAGCAATAATTTTTGGTTTTAATATCGTGTTCAAAAATGTTTTTGAAACAGATGAGTCATTATTCAAGAAGGTTGGAAAAATCGATCATTTTTTTCCTTCTGTAATAAATTAATATTGAAACTTGTTCTTTGAAGTAAACTGAGAGCACAGCTGCATTTTATTCAACATTTAACTGTTTTTCTCTGTTCCCGGTATTTTTTACAGAAATGGGCGCAAATGAAGAGTGCTGTGAAATTCTCTAAAATTTTTCAAATATTTTTAAAAAAATTTCTCATTATAATTCAAGAACAAAAAGTTGGATATTTGACTGCCATGATCAAGTCTACTATTATTATTCTTCTAATTATCCTGTGCTTAATTTCCTAATAGTTGTGAAACATGCTTAAGTTGTTGAAAAAGAAAAAAATCAACGGTTAAACAATTTCGTTTAATCCATCCGCGGCTTACTGCAAAAAACTGCATCGGCCTTTCTGATTTGAATAACTAACACAGATTGCAAGGATTATGTCAGGTAAAAGGTTTAGAGATGAATTATTGTCAGCAATTTTTAGGGATGTTGCCGATTATGTAAATCTGAACGAACTTTTTCTGTTAGGATCAGATACCTACAGTACAATGATGCAACACCCTCCTGCGCTGCCATTGCATAAGCCACCGAGTCAATGGGTAAGTATTGATAATTGGTCTGGGACACAAATTTTAAAACTCCGCAGTTCTAATGATTCTACGGGAAGTCAAGTCGAATATAATCAAATATTTTGCAGGAAACCAAATTATATCAAATAGCAGAACGCTGTCTTAGTACAGTGATAAATGAAGATCAGTTTGCTCAATGCAGTGGTACTTTGAATAGAAATATGAGTGATAACGTGAGTAGCCCTTTTTCTAAATAATTTTCATCCATTTAATGGATGAAATTTTTTAGTTCCCAAACTACCGAAATAAAAATGGATGTCTTGTAGACAAGTGACTTGTGCTCCTCTCCTTCACGTGGTTCCGGTGAAAGTTCAAGATCATTAAATCAACATAAAAGTCGCATTGATTTCACTAATATCAAGGAAGGGGATTATGCAGTACCACCAGATGCAAATCAGGATATTAGAGCAACTCTGATCAATTCTGCTGAACCCGTAGGTTGTTTGCACCTTATTTTTTATTTGCAAACGCACAAAATTCCCGAAAAATGTTTACTTCTTAAATCTTTTAGTTAAATAATTGCTGTTTTAGCTAGAAAAATGTGGTTATTTGATACAGATGACTGATAGCAGACTCAAGTCATTGAAAAGGCGTTATTTTGTATTCAAAAATGGTTTTCTTACTTTATACAGAACTCAGGTTAGTTAATTACTGCGAATATCATTCAATTTTCTTTAGATTTCATTGCAGTCTTTTTCTAGTATTCAATTCCGTAATTTTTATCATATTAGAAATAGCAGTGTTTGTTGAATTAGAAATCAGATTAATAAAAATCTAAAGGCCTATACGTACCTTTTATTCATTGTTTCTTAACATCCTGATTTTCATCCAGGAAAACAATTTTTCAGAAAAATCATTTAAAAGGCGAGGAACCACTGGTTAGAATTGCAGTGTCCGATATTCGTTCCGTCACAAAGCTGGTCAATAAAATGGGTTATGGTTTACAGGTTTTTATTAAAGTTCCATTTTTTAACACCTTTCCACTATTCTCTGTCACTATAATAAAAGAAACAAGTAGCAAAATAGACAAATCCGGAAGTTTTTTGAAAGGGATGCGAGATGAAAGCCATTCTCTACCCACTTTTATAGGTAACGACAGCAAATAGCGAATACTGTTATGCAGCTGAATCAGATCGTGCTACTAATGAGTGGATTGCTCTTCTAACACGTAGTTTGCGTACTACAACGATTTCTGAAGTTAGTCAGCGTGCCACAGGGCTTAATGCCGACATTAATGGTTATGTGATAAAGGTTATACAAATATTTGACATTTTATCGTTATTTGCTTTTACTAATGACTTTGCCAAGTAATAAATTGCTTAGATGGAATTAACGGCATCATTTCGTTAATTATTTGGCTGGGATTTTTTGTCAGATATGAGCAAAAATGTTTTTCCTTCTTTTAATAGTTAAAAAACTACTATATAATTAATTTCAGGCAAAATGTGGTAGCACAAGACGTTTTTTCGCATCCATAGTAGATAATAAACTGCTGTTTTTCAAGAGCTCTGATGATCGAGTTAGTATTCCATGTCGTCATTTCCTTCATTTCTTTTTTTTTTTTTTTTTTTTTTTTTTTACACTAGTATGATACAAAGCTAAATATACAATTGAGCACAGTTTTTTGCTAGAAAACGTTACTGTAGCATGTTCATTTTTAGGTCCCGTGTTCCCATATGTATCTTCGAGGTGCACATATCTGTGAGAAGATAAAAACTGCTGCTGATGAATCAAGTGGAAGTTCTGATGAGCAAAGTGAAAATCATACGAAAGATTTTGATCACACTGTCTCGATTGAGGTCTTCCTTATCATTAATATTTTCGGATTGTTTTTGATTCAACTGAAATAATTTGTTAGATTTTTGGAGTTAATGGAAGGCAACATGCTGTGTACTCATTTTAATACCCTGCTGATTTAGATTGCAAACGCCGATCCAGTTTACATTGTTTTGCGGAGTGCTGAAGAGAAGGATAAATGGATATATTTTTTGAAAAAGGCGGCTAATGATGTGATATTTAGTGGAACTGCTTTCGAGGTACTTATACAAAGGATGTTGGCACAAAATGTAGATGACGGTAATTCAAAACGTTTTTTATTTATTATATTTATTAATAAAATTTTTTTTTCATTTTTATTATACAAAATATCTTATTTTGAAATGGAATGTGTGTGAGATTGTTAGTGTTTTTAGCAAAAACATTTTTTTGATGCATTCGTAACTAACGAAGCAGTTTGTTTGTTATTTCTGGATAATTTAATTGGAAATTTCAAATTTGCTTGCTGTTCGGAAGGAAGAGTGAATCTCATTTTTCATTGTTTTTACTTATTTTTTTATGTAAGGACTAAAGACTTGAAGTTTCTTAGCTTTTTTGTTATTTCGCAAAGGTTTGTGTTTTTTTTTCCTAAGTTTTTCGTTATGCTGCATTTTAGTTTTAATTGAGGAATGAATCTGATTATTTGCCAGTAGGTTTTACCCACTTTTATTAGAAAGGATAGCATTGCAATTGTCGTCTTACACTGTATTTCCCTCTTCAGAAGATTTATTGTGGAATGACGTACTTTTGACAGCATGTGAAGAAAAGCCAAAGGAAACATTAACAACAATATTCGATGAAATGCTGAAAAAGAAAGCACTGGAACTTGGTCGAGCATGTTTCATGTTTACTTCGGTGTTAATGAGACCAACAGGGGTTCAGTACCATATTGATCTTGCACAAAATATTCTTACTACGGCGATGTCCAGTGACTTACTCAGAAATGAGCTTTATGCTAATTTGATAAAGCTGACGTCTGGTTCAATGTCGTATGGAATTCAAGTACATATTGCTTCCCTCTTGCTACGCTGATTTTGTTTCTAATCTAGATTATAGAATTACTTGTTTTTATTGCATGCTAGCATAGCTAAATAAAACTTTAATACTTTCATTCGACAGAAATTTACTTCGCATTGCTAATTACAAATTACCATTCTTCATTCAAGTTCCACTATGGTCTTGTAACTGTTCTTGACAGTATTTTTCATTCTGCTCAAATTTTATGGAAACTTCAGTTGCTTTAGGCTTGGAAATTAATGGCTTTAACGACACCATTATTTACACCCCGACAGTATTCGCTTTTATGGTTGCTTCGTCGACACATCGAAAGATGGAGTGGAAAAAGGTTTCGATTTCATATTTCTATTTTGAAGTATGTTGCATTCTTACTTTTTCATTTTTATTTATAACCAATTTTATTTGTTTATAATTTCTGACTAAAGCGACTAATGCTAAAGTTACTGCAGCTCCATAATTTCTATTTATAATGATTTGTATTTTTCTTCATGCTATTATGATACTTAATTTTCAATTTTTTAAGATGTGATGAAGGTAATTTTGCATTATATTGTTTGCGTGCTTTCAATCGTTGTCTGAAAGCACATGGACGAACAGAAGGACCAAGTAAACTTGAGGCAATCTCCATATTAACACGAGATCCAACTTCAACTAATATGCCACATAGTATTCCAGTACTGCTACCAACTAATGAATACCAAGTAAGCTACAAAAAATGGATATTGTACCAATAATTTTATGTTTGCATAGTATGCCTTTACTTTTCAAGAACTGATGTTTTTGTGTTGATCATTAATGATATTTAAGAGTATTCTTAACCCAAAAAACTTTCAAGGTTATCGATTTTGATGGTTCTACGCTTATCGCTGACTGTTTGTCAACTTTATGTGTGAAGTGTGGTTTACGACCAGCGCTTCTGAGTGGTTACGCTTTATACGTGGAAGATCCCCTGGAACGGAATTCTTATCTTTTTCTAAAGGGCAAACAGAAAGTGAGCTCGGATGTTATAATTTTATAATATATACTTCATTTTCTTGAAATCTTTTGTCAATTTTCCTGAAATAACTGAGAACTTAACAATGCTGTTGAAAAATTAAGTTGTTTTTCAGTTGTGTGACTGCATATCACGTTGGGAACGTGAATTGATGGACAATAAATGTGGACGAGTCACTGAGGATGTTGCTCGGATAAAGTTATCTATTCGACAGAGACAGTATTGGAGTCATCTGGTCTCTTCAGAAACACCGACAGAACGTACATTTTTGGTGCATTGGATGGCGAGTGAAATTGTTGCTGGAAGAGTACCGTTGAGTAGCGAATTAGCAGAGGAGCTAGCAGCTGTTTATGCACAAGTAAATTATTGTAATGTTTTGTGCAGTTCTATGTAGCATAGTTATACTTATTTCTATTTCATTTGTCTCTGATGTATACACTTCAGCTCAAGTTTGGAGACATGGGAACGATATCCGATGAACAATTCCGTGAAATTATAACTTCTTATTATCCTTCAAAACTGCTGGATGTTGGCTGTGAAAGATTGTTAAGGTTAGATTAAATTGAATTTTTAGTCTACTTTGGATACTGTGATTTTAATTTCAGGAAAAATCTTTTTTTAGCACCAGTTTAGATTATATAAAAGTTTGCAGACAAAATTCTTGTTTGATTTATGCAGACATGGATTTCAGATTAAATCTTGAAACAAACTGGTCGCAGTTGCGTGATACTTCGACAGTGGATTGCATTCGCATGATACTAGTCGTTTTGCGCAAGTGGCGCTTTTTCGGATCATTTATTACGGAAGCACGAATGAAAATGCGTAACGACGAAAGTTTGTTCATTGCTCTCAATGATCAAGGCGTTCATTTGCTCAGTTTTCGTCAGCTTGTTAGTATTCATTTTTGTATAGCTGTGGCCGAAAAGCAGGAGTAAATTATTTTAGTGCACAGAATATTTCTCCTCGGAAAAATTCATTTGGGAAATACTGGCTATGTTTCCTTGATCACTATATTCAAACAAAATATTCATGATCGAAATGGTTTGCATTACTCCTGTGAAATTTACATTTTTATAGGATCTCATAAGAAGTATTCCTTACAATCGACTGGTCTCATTCGGCGGTTATCGCAATGATTTTATGCTCACCATTGAAAGAGTTCTCCCGCCTCAAGCTCATCCTGAAGAAACAACCCGAGAAAGATTGACTTTTTCAATGCCTGCAAGAAATATTGACCAGGTTATTCTATTTTACCTGGTTTTTCCAACCGAAACTCTAATTCATGAGTCAAACAATCTCCAAAAGGGACTTATGTGTTTTGTTTTGTTTTTTGGTTGAAATTTTTTTTTTCTTTTATGGTTTGAAAGCAATATTAGAACGGTTTTAATTATTGCAAATGTAATTTTTTCAGCTGACGTGTCATTTAGCAGAATATATCCGGTGTCAAAAATTAATTTCGAAGCTTTCGATACGAAATTCATAATTATGTATACAGCTTTGAGTTTTAGTGCATGATTTTATACTGTTTTCATGATATTTTTTGCTCATTGTTATTATTTGAAAGAAAAGTGCCCATAATTTCGCTAAGTATTAATAAAGAGGAGATGCTATTGAGTAATATATATATATATATATTAAGCGATACAGTGTTATATTTTCGTTTTCCTGAAAAACTTCATGGCGTTAAATATATTTGTTTTGCAAGACCTAAAGTCGATTATTTGCTCGGCTATCAATTAAACACGTTTTTTTAGTCCATAATTCTATTTAGGAATAATTTGGATATCATAGCATTTTGAAAAAATTAAATTTCGTCAAATTTTAAAGAATGCTAGGAAATGACGTGAGTAAAATTGAGCGCTATCAGTGATATTATTGATCAACTTTTTTTTTTAGAAACTTATGGTTATAGCTTGTCCGAATTGCTGGTCTTTCGGCTTAACACAGTACTAATTTTAAGCTCATTATCACGAATGCATGTCTGTACGACTGCAACTAGAATTAAATTTCACGATGGATTTGATCAACTTCCGCTTGACACGGAGAAATTAGGGCGTCTTCATAACATTTTCTAGAATTGGAGACACCCTGAAGCCTAGTTGGCATCAGTTTTGATATGAAAAGTTCATTTTATAGCGAATATTATGAGTAGAAACTTCACTGCCAATTTTTTTCTTGCAAGACGAGAGAAAAAAGTGTAGGGACAGTGATGACATATGCAAAAGAAAGTGTGGAAGTGGTCGTGAAGTAACATGACATAAATCAGTGGAAAGTGAGATCAACCATCGAACGCTAAGTTCAACTGGAACAGTTCATTTGATGAGAAACATCCACAGAGGTGAAATTCCATCAATAAACGTCTTCAATCTTTCCCCACTTTTTCACACATTAAGATAATATAAATTAAAGAGGAAAGAACAACCAATAAGATTTTTCCCATAACTTGAAAAAATTATAACTTGCAAAAGTTATAACTTATCTTTTCCAGAACTTGTCTTGAAAAAATCAACTTATCTTTCCCATAATTTATCTTGGAAAAATCCTTTTAGAATATCAAAATGAAACAGTCCACGTCCTTCTAATCACGAACTATCACAGAAATTCAATGGGATCTGGAAATGTTCTTTAATCACGACAACTCAGTTGTTTCTAATAACAACATCAATAACATTAAGGACTAATTTTCTTGATAAAATGGATGGAAGTACAATTTTTTTTTTTCTCAAATGAGACATTTGATTTGGTACATGCTTATACCACAAAGTATATTATTAATGTTAAATTATTGAGAAATTACAGGACCTATCATTAGGTTTAACTCTTCTAACTATCTAACGTCAGTATTGATTTCCAAAACTATACGTATTTCAGAGATCTGGATCACTTCGAATTTCAAAGAAAATTTAAAGTACTGTTTAAGAAAATTTATTTACCTTCACTGACATATCGAAGTTAGTAATTTTCTACGGAAAATCCCGATTATACGATCACGTCACCTGAGATAAGACTTAAAAATGAAGGAAGATATCAAAACTGACATATTAATTTTCCAGAGATTCTGCACCGAATCATTTGGAGAAAAAAATGAATACAAAAACTAAAAGCAGCAAAACGTATTTCTCAAAGTGCTGCTAATACAAGCGTTTCGAAATAAATCTAAGGAATTTCTCCATAAGCAGTGTCAAACTAACGTTTTGAATCAGAATATTTGATGAGTGTCCAAAATGGCATGAGATATTGCCGCCTAGGCATGCTTGTCTATTCGCATGTTCAGTTGAAAATTGAAATTTTGACGAAAAGCGAGACGAAATGTCCAGCGAAGTAAAAAGTGCAATTTTCAAGAATAATTCACTAAATATACTTATAGATGCATTGTGAATTACATGTGTGACACCTCCTTTTATCAATAATAAGTTACAAACAACTGCAAAGCAACTTTCCGTCTACGACAGACAGTAATCGTCCTCATTACAGTACTCCTTCCAGCATACAGTATCACAATGCTACGACTCTAGTGAAAAGGCAAGTGAAAGGTATTTTGCGGCTGTCAATTTGTCCAGCGAAAATAGTGGAGATAGTCGGTCTTAGCAGGTTGGTGTCGTGGTGTGTATGTTGGGTTGGGTCGCTAGTTTATGCTAGGATGCAGCCTGCAGAAGTTTGTATTACGAATTTTATTTGAATATCCTGCGTTGAACAACTTCCTAGTTCAGTACTGCTGCAAGTAGTGAGTACTGAGAAATACTGTTAATGACATGAAATTCCATGCAAGCTTGCTTAACTTTTTGGATTGCACATGCATTCACGTACTAACCTTGTAGCATATTTGGTAGGTTGACTTTAATGAATCAGAAACGTGACTTTTATACCGCTTAATTATTTAGAATTAAAAAAATATGAAGCGATGGGAAAGAAATACAACAGTTTCAAGTTTTTTGAATTTTAGAGATATTTTAGTAAAGAGATTGATGTGTCGGGGCGGATGTCGTTGTTGGACACAATAGAACTACAGGGTATCCGCAGTGTCGGAGTGGGGCCTCAAAATGCTAATGTCATTGAATTTCTGTCTCCGTTAACCATTATTTGTGGGCCTAATGGTGCTGGAAAGACAACAATCATTGAAGCACTTAAATATGTCACAACTGGCGAGTTACCGAAAGGAAGCTTCCAAACATTTATCCACGATATACGAGTAGGTTCACCACATCACTTCCATTAGTTTCTCACTTTAATTTTTTACCAATATTCTTCTTTCTATATATAAAAGTCAGATTCTCAGAAACTTCCTCTCTATTAGTTTCTCACTTTAATTTTTTACCAATATTCTTCTTTCTATATATAAAAGTCAGATTCTCAGAAACTTGCTGATTTTTATAAGAACACTGATATAGTTTAAATATTTTCCATCTGCATTTCAACGGGCAAAATAATTTACGTTGAAAACTGAAGTTTCAAACAATGAAAATGATGCGAGTTTATTTCTGATAGACTTGCGTCTTTACATGAAATATTTTCCAGCATGTTGACAGTTGGTCATCATTAGTATTAATTTGCAGTTGGCTGATAGATCTCGAGTGGATGCATCAGTGAAGCTCAAATTTAGAGATATCAGAGGGAGATCTTGTGTCGTGACTCGTCGTATAATGCAGTCCAAGGGTGCTAAGGTGGAGCATTCACTTCTAGAACTTTGTCTTATAAATATTTCAATCTACTCAGTGGAAACTTAGTGGAAATTAATTTTCAGGGTAAAATAACAAATAAATCAGAAGAGAGTACGATTGCAATCGAGAAGGAGTCCGGCGAGTGGAAAAGCTTATCGTCAAAAGTCGTTGACTGTAAGAAAGAGGTAAGTCTTAGCTTTAATTGTAGTGCTACATCGTTTTTTTCTTTTTTCGATTCAGAGGAATGTAGGGTTGCAATTTTAATCATTGTGCATTAAAAATGCTACAGATTTTAAACCTTCTTGGCTTGCCCGCAGCAATTTTGGAATATGTGGTCTTCTGTCACCAGGAAGAATCGTCATGGTTAATTAAAGGCTTTATTTTTGTTTGTTATTAGTTTTTCAGATTCTATAGTTACTTTAATGAACTCTTTATCTTGCAATTTTTCTTTTTTATATTTCAATAATAGAAAAGATGGAACATTGAATAAAAAAAATGCTCACAGTTTTTTATAAAACTTTCTTGTTCTGTTTAATTTTTTTTTTTTTTGTCATTGTAGGCCGCTTGATGAACCGAAAAAACTGAAAGAACGCTTTGATGAGATTTTTCAAGTGACTGGTTATGTAAAAGCAGTTGAAGTTCTGAGGAAGGAATTCAAAGAAAATGTTTTTTTTTTCCACTATATATATGTATATATTTTAACCAGGTTTTCACACCAAATTTGAATCTATTATAATGAATAAAAATTTGTAGCAACAAGAACTGAGGATTACTGAAGGCAGGCTACCACTTCTGATTAGGCAGCAAGAAGAAAAGATTGAGGTTTATATGTATTTACCAATTTTTATCCTTTTTTCATATTACTGTTTATTGCACAAAGCTCTATTTAATTTTTTTTCTTTTTAGTTGTCGAATTTTCATTATGTGCCTAATGAAAGTTAAACTTGCTTACTGCATTGCAGTTGCACAATGAATACATCATCCTGAAAGAACAAGTAGCAAAAAATGAGAAAGAGATTTTGCTAAATCAATCAGTACTCAAGGAAAATACTGCCAAGAAGAACTTAAAAGTTGCAGAACTTGATAAAGCAGAAATGTTAAGGAGGAAGCACGGTAAGTCTCGTTTTTATCAAATTTTCTCGTTTATCTGATTCTTTTGCTGAAATTTTAATTAAGATATGATGAAAGCGGAAAAGCAAATACTTGTCGATCAAGTTGAATGCTGCTCGGCATTGGATTACGAAGGAGGAATCGAAAATTTAAAACGTGAAATTGAGTCGGTATAAGTTTCCTTTCCTTTTTTGTTTTCTTGAATTGTAGCATAAATTTACGAATTTGTAACTCTTGGGTATACTGATTAGAAAAATTTTTAGTTTAAAGCGCTTAGGTATTAATCGGTGTTTGTTTTTCACAAAATAAACTAAACATGTCTAATACACCAGGTCCACTGTTTAATACTCCGCTCTTTGTTAAATGAATGGTTTTGAAAGTATTTCTTACAGTGTTTTCTTTACAGATTACTCATTCTGATGAGTTTGAAGATATGGAACGGAATCGTAAACGAATCAGTGCTGAGATTGATGAACTTAATGAGGAAATTAAAGAGTATGTAGCAAAGAAAAAAGAGATCGACAAAGCAATTGTGCACTTGAAAAGTATTCAAATGGTGCTTTTTTTCATGTCTGAATTAAAATATTTTTTTTATTTTCCTTTTTTTTTTATTATGTTCTTGAAATTGTATATTCATTTTAGATGCGTGATAAAATGACTGCAGAAAGGAAGCAGTGCTTACAAACCTGTTGGTCACGATTTAATTTAAGAAGTAGGAATTTTTGATCAATTGAGTTTTACCAGAGTCTTCAGCTGCTTTTTGCAATATTTGTTTTTCCAGATGAACAGATGGAAACTCCGAAACAGTTGTATCATTTGATTGAAAAGCGGAAAGAAGATATCAGCAATTTTAAGGTAACTTTTGTCTAGTTTTTATGTTTATGACGTTTTTTTTTCTTTACGTTTTCAATAGTTTTTACATATTTTTCACATTTTGCTTCGAGTTGGTTTTTATTGTAGAATGAAATGGAAGAAAAACAAACAAACTGCCAGAAAGAAATTGATAGCATTTCCGGAATTTTAGCTCAACTTACAGCAAAAATAGAATTGACGAATGAAGAACGTAAACGACTTGATGAAGATATTACTGTAATAAAGTGCAATTTAATGGAAGCATCTACTTCATCTCAGAAGTAAATAATTATCACGTAGATTTGCCGATAATGTAGATTAATCTCTTGTATGTTTTAGGTCTTGCTGCAAGAGTAGAATTTTCAATCTTTCAGTTTTTCTTTTTGTAAAAATGAAGTTTTGGTCATTTATTTTGGAATATTTTTCATTTCATTGTAGTTATTACTATTAATGACAGAAATGAAAGTGGGGAATTGTTCAGGCTTGATCGTTTGCAAGACGAAATATTGGAGCAAGAAAAAGAACTAGAAGTAATGCGAGAAAACGAAGCACTGGGAAATACTGTTGAGAATTTAAGAAATGAAAGGAACAGCATTACAAACAAGGTGAATTACCGATTTGTTTTTTTTTTCTATTTATTATAGTTTGATTTCTCGTAAGTTGCTGTTTTTACAATATCATTAATTGCAGTTTATTTTTATTATAATTTAACTTTCGAGATATGCTAGATTCAAAAGCTCTTTTTGAGATAGAATTGCTCAAGAAAGAATATTGTGTGAGAGAAAATGTTGAAGAAATTGAGAATAAAATCAAGCAAAGAAGTGGTGAATTAGCGAAATTCGAGAAAGAACTCTGCGCACTAAAGAACAAGCATCAAATTGCATTACTGGAAATATTCAGCACCGATGAACCTGAATTCCCTCTTAGGTCAGTTTATACAAAACCAGTAGCTCTTTAAGTGGTCTGATTACAAAATTTGGTGAAATTTGTACGTTGCGAACTAGAGTAGATTTTGCTTTGCATTTGTCATTGCCATTATTTGTTATCATTGAACATTTTACATGTCTATTGCGTTAACTTTAGATGTTATGTTGATATTAGGTATTACCCAATTTTATAATAATAATGATTTATTTCGTACACATCTGAGAGTTCATGCAGCCTTCCAAATTTTAGTGAGCGACTCATCATTTATGCTCGAAACACACAAAATAATTTGTCAACAGCTGAAGATGAATTCAAAATTCGTGAAAAGGAGGTATCGCGAGCTCAGTTTGCTTTGTCACAAGTTAGTCGAGAACTGGATCAATTGTCTGACCGAATTGCATCCTGCAGGCGAAAGATAACAAAGGTTGTTTTCTTGAACAAATGTGGCATACTTGTTCATAATAATGACTTGGATTTTTCTGCAGTTTCAGATGCCTTCATTTCTTAAGAAAACTAAAACAAAAAAAAAAAAAAAAAAGTATGGATTCGTTCTTTGATTTTGTTACCTTTTATGGATTTAAATAAATATATCAATGAATAATTCTCTTCCACTTATGTTGTTTGTAAAATTTGCAGGTAGTTACTCATGAAGATGAAGTAGAACCGCGTTTGAATGAAATCAGAACACTTCTTAGGAAATCACAACAGGATTCAGGACGTATCAATGGTTGTGTGTTCTTATATGAACAATGGGAGGAAATAGTCAATATGAGGAAATGTTGCCCGCTTTGTGAACAATCGTACAGCGGTATAGAGAATTCTAATGTTCTTAAAGAAAAGGTCTGTGCAGAATGGCATATAAGTTTTATTAGGCTCAAAAATCTAATAAGAGACTAAGATCATGGAAGGAATGTTTAAATTTTTATAGATATAGTGTGGGACTATTGTTATTCTTATTCTCGTAATTTTCATAAAATATTTGATATTGTAATAAATTTGAATCAATTTTCAGATAAGGCAAAGGAAAGAAGGTTTTAATAAAGATGCTGAAAAACTGATCCGTAAAGTAAAGGATTATGAAGCAATGCAAAATGAACTTTTAGAAATTGTACCTTATGTTAGGATGTTGAAACAATCAAATAGTGAGAAAGAAGGATTGCAAGAAAACTTTAAAAAGGCAGAAGTATACTCTTTATATACATTTTCATTTTATAGATTCTTTTTAAATGGTATCTTAGTTTTTACGTTGTAATTTAACTGCACCAGAATATATTAAAATACAGGAGAAACTGCGTGATGTGGAAGTAGAATTTGCGAAGTCGAAATCTGAAAGAGACATCATTTTGCAAAAGCTAAATGTGATTCGCAGTGTTCAGGTATGCTCTGTGTCTCTTTTCTTCCAGCTTGATGTAGCGATTATAATCAATTATTTAATTGAAAATGAGCTCTGTGCTTTTGTAAGGAAAGTTCATTATTTTTTACTTTGGTGGAAAATAGTATCTAGGAGAAATTGCATGATTTCGAAATAAGATTTGCGAAGTCGAGAAATGGATATAATTTTGTTATGAGAAACAGATAATTTATTACATATAAATTTTCCAAAGTATTTTTTTCGGTTAGTTAAAATTTTTTCAGATTGATATATCTTTGATGGATAACATTTGGAAGTCATTATCAGATGCGAAACACGATATAAAATTGCTGAAAACAGAAGTAGACGCTTCGGAATGTACGAAACAGTCACTTGACGATATGAGAATCGAAATAAGAGAGAACGAGGTGATTAAGTATCATCTTACAGTGCTGTCATATTATTTGCACAGTTTTAATTGAAACCATTTTTGCATAACTTTCTTTGTAACATTTTCAATTTGATTTCTAGAAGCGATTCACAGAATTGATTAATAGGATTGATATGATCCAGGCAGCAGCTTCTGAAAGAAGCAAACTTGTTGAAAAGGCAAGTTTTTAACCATATGTAATGTTTTTTTACCTTATTAAATTAAATTTTAGTTACAGTATTCCGAATAAAACGACAACGATGATAGTTGTAATTTATGCTTCTCTCATTTTAAATTAATTAATTTTAAAATCATTATTAACTCCTTTGGAAGTGGGAGTTTCTGAATATTTCTTTTTAGTGAATCCATTTCAGTTAAATGCATCAAAAGAGCTTCGAACCGCTCTGTGTGAAAAAATAGTGCAGTTTGATTCTATAAAAAAGTCACTGGAAATAAAAGAGAAGGAACTGGAAAAAAATAAGCAAAATTTGCAGAAACTGAAGGAACAAAAACCAGTTGTTGAAGCGGAATTACAAGTAGCTATTAAAACCTTTGTTTTTTATGTAGAACTCCTAGTAGCGGTTGTACAAATCAAGTGATTCTCATTTCACTATTCTGTCATTATAGATGAAGAAAGAGCAGCGATTTATTATACAAAATGAAACGAAAAATAAGGAAGCAGAACTGTTATGTTTGTTACGAGATGCAGAAGATGCTGCCAAAGAATTAGGTAATTATTGGGCATAATTGCGGAGTTCAGATGTTTTGTTACTTTTTGCTTACCTATTAGCTTCTAACATTGTCTACAGTTTCTGAATTTTTAGAGATGATAGATAAGAAACTGCAAGATGCTGTTGATAGTACTGCTGATTTGAAGAATCGAGAAAAGGATTTGTTAAAAATAGATACCGAAATTGGTGCAAGCAATGCCAAAATGCGTCATTTGACGGGACAAATTGATTGCTTGAATTCAAAAGTATGCATTTGGTATAAAGTCGTAGTACTAATTTGAGATCAATATTCAGTTTAAAATCATCAGGTAAAAATGTTCGCAGCTTTTTTTACAAGGCATAAAATCTTTTAAAATTAGAGTAATGATTTTCTAGCAAGAGCATAAACATCGATTGGATGACCAACTTCGGAAGTTGGAATTGCAAGAACGAATCAAAAGTTTAGATAAGAGCTTAGAAGAAACAGAATGGTATGGTAAAGCAATCCCAGAATTGAAGGAAGAATTGAGCTCACTTTCGAATCAAGTCAATGATTTACAGTTGATGATCGAGAATAAAAGAGGTGCTAAATTAGTAATTAGTAGTTTTTTTTGAATTGTCTGCGACCTTAAGACGAAATTAGATCTAAGACGATTTAAGACGAAACTGATACCAATTAATCTTTACCCAGTTTTTTTTTGTCTTTGAATTATCTTTAATTAGTAATTTTGTATTTCCGGTGAACTGAATGAACAGAGGAAACGGCTAGCGACTATGGAAAAGTTTTTGGCATCATCGGAGTATGCAGAGTTCAAAGAAGAATTTAAAAAAGAAGTCGTGAAGAAATGTGTCATCAAAAGAGTTATAGAGGTTCTTCATTTTCTTGTTTCAGAACTTATTTCAATTTAATAAGCTTACACTATGCATAATTTATCCAACTCATCTATTTGACTTATTGATAGGATTTGGCAAATTATATACGAGCAGTGGATGAGTCTGTTGTGAAATTTCATGCTCAAAAAATGGAAGAAATCAACGAGGTGTTGAGTTCTTTATGGGAACAAGTATATCACGGCAATGATATTGAAACTATACAGATCAAGTAAAAATTTAGGCTTTTCCTCCAGCTATTGACCTCATATAATTGTACTTAGTCCAAAATTCATGTTGTTTAAAGTATTTTAATTTTGATTGCTATTTTGCGGATATTTTATGTAAAATACGAGGTCAGCTGTCTTACAGAATTGCCTTCTTCCATTTTTTGTTTTTATTTGTTTATTTATTTAAAGATCTGAAAGCGCTGGCGAAAATGAAAAAAAGAAATCATATAATTATCGCGTGGTAATGTATGTTGGTGGCACTGAAATAGATATGCCGGGAAGATGTAGTGCCGGGCAGAAGGTGTGATTTTTTGTTTATTATCTTCTGGCATTTGTTTGTTTGAAGTGTAATTCAAATTAATGAAGGGAGTAGTTTGTGTAAATTGCCGTTTGAACGAAAAAGCACCTGTTATAAAAAAATAGAAGCTAAGTGAAGTGATCGAAAATATAGACCAAAATAATGGATAGCTGCAGTATCTATTCAGATGCTTGCGTCGATATTGATACGAATTGCACTATCAGATGTCTTCTGCGACAAATGTTCGATAATTGCGCTTGATGAACCAACTGCAAATCTGGATGTGTTGAAAGTAAGTTACCTCACTTCTCCATCTAAAGGCTGAAAAGCGAATTGATGCAGCCATATCAGCTTTTTAACCATATCCATTTTGTACGATATTTGCACATCTATTACTTATGCTTACGAATTGGATGAATTATTATTTTCTAGGTCTCTATCATCTTTCAAGATTTTTTTTTTTCGGGTAGAAAATTTGGGCGATATGTTGGCAGACATTATTTCGGCTCGATGTGCAAACAATGCTAAAATGTTCCAACTTATTGTCATAACGCATGATAACCGTTTTGTGGAACATCTTCGACAGTTATGTCGACCGGAATGGGTTTACTCAGTGTCAAAGGATGATGCAGGTTAGTTCCTGAAACATAATATCATTAGTAAATTTTTAATAAACAGAGCAGGAACGAAGCTTTCATAGAAATAGATTTACAAAGAGGATTATTCTGGTGTTTTATTTTGTTCCTGCTTAAAGGATGTTCTGAAACTTTTGAAATTATTTCATTTTGCATGCTTTTTTTGGAATACTGAAATATATATATATTGCTGTTTGTATAATTAATACAGGAGAAAGTTTGATTTGTGTTCTTTTTAATTTACAGGTTTATCACGGGTGAAGCGCCATCGGAATTTAGAGGATGCAACTATGCGTGAAGGATAAGGCAGCGTCTTGTTTCAGGTCAGATATGTGTATGAAATATTATCGCTGTTTCTTTGTATGAAATTAATTATTCCCTCTTTTCATTTGAATACTCATCATCAGTGAGGAAGACATCTTTAATCCTTTTATTCAACACGATTGTTTCTTTTTCCTTCTTTGAAGTGTTGTTTTTAAATGTTGATTTTTTATTGTTATTATGTCCTGTATTTTTCGAGTTTCTTATCCAGTCGGAATTTCGTTCCTATGTATTAGCTTTGAATAAATTTTCAAGATGTCCAGAATTTTGCTTGAACTTATGCTGTAGCTTATGAAATTTGTTGTCCGCTATATTTATTTTGTCAAAAACTTCGTCCTTTGAGTATCATATTATGAGGTTGAAAGAGACAAATTCGTGGGTGATAATTATTTTAGCAAAAATGATACGAAAAGGTTGGTGTTTTGTAATTATTTTACTAGAGGTTCAGATTTGCAATATGTGGTTTATGGTTTAGTGCATCAAAAAAGGAAGATGTTCTCAAATCCTGGTTTAAATTTGCCTCGGATCAATTTACCTCAGCAAGCAATTCGACCTGTTTTGGCTCCAGATGTATCGAGATTTGGTTGCAGCAGCTCATCTGGTAGTATTTGTGTGGAATTCTAGCTAAAAATTTGCAGACATCTCAAGGCAGTAATAATATTTAGAAGTGTATGGTCCGTAGTAGATTAATGCAAAATAAAATTGATGGAATTTGATATTTCAAATGCAAAGAGTAGCTTCCTTCTCTAGATGTGTTTAAGTTTCGGAGGAAAATTGCAACCGTTTTCTTGCGGAGTACGCTTCAGTGACTGCCAGAATAATTTAACTGCATAATTTTTTGAGAATTGTTATTTTGCCTCAATAGATCCCATCTTTTTCTACCACTAGCACTTTGAATTTTTCTGCACATAGCAGTAACTATTGTTATCTAGTAAGAGGGAATTTAGTTTGATATGTTAAACCTTATTTCACATTTTAGTACTTGTATATAATCAAGATATTAAATCATTTCATATGTAATGGCTGTTGAGGATTGAACAAATGAGGACTGGAAAAATGAGGTGTCTTTTAAATCAAGTTATTTGATTCGTTTACTGACTATTTTAATATAACGGTATTCAAGCAAAACTTTTGGAATTTATTGAAATATATAGGTTTCTTTCGAAATTTTTAGAAAAAAATTATTTAGGCACTGTTAATATGCTATCAACGACGAGCGGAAAAGCAGCACGAAATGTTCCTCCATTAATTGTTTCACACAGCACATCTAATCTCTCAGCAGTGAGGCCACTACTTCCCGTATCTAATTCATCAGAACAGGTTGTTTTCTGGAATTTATTTTGGACATCTTGCAAAATTTATTTTTGATTTCATATAATTCCAAAGAAATATTTTTAGATATCCGATGTTCAGTGTCAACCATATCGAAATGTTGTTGGTTGTCGAAAACCTTTGTTTTCTGATATAGGTAAGCAGTGAACTTAGACTGAGCAGTTTGAAGTTCTTTCTGTATCTGTTTTGGATTAGGAATTGGAATATGAAGTCGGATATGTAAATATAACGTTGCTTAGAAAGGTACCAATGGTCATCAGCATCAACAGTCGAAAGGTCGCAATTTGTAAGAACATCGGGAAGTAGGAATAGCCGATCATTGCCGAGTCTGAGAGACGTTTCTAGTGTTGCAGTAAAACAGGTATTTTTATATCTGTAATGTCCCTAAAATTTTTATGTATTTTATTCATTTCTTTACTCATGATCTGACAAATAGTTGAAACTGCTCAACAGTTTGTTAGTCCTAATTAACTAATTTTTTAGAATTTACATATAAGAGAAGTTGGAGTATCCGATGATACGGTTTGTACGTTAACGTCAGACTGTGGGATATCCACTACTGAACCAATAGATATCAGCGATGAAGATTTCAAGTAAATGGTTATATTATTCGTTCCATGAATGTTCTTATGATTTGTTTTTAAAAAAGAATTAAAAAGAAATTTTTCAGTTATATTGGTAATGAGGAAGAGCACGCAGAACACAAGAGCAATAAATGGAACACGACGAAAACACGATATAGGAAACGAAGACATGAACAATCTAGTAGTGGCGAAAGCGAATCAGAGCAGGGTAATTTTTATGTTCTTGTTAGTTTTTTGACTGAAGGTTTGAGAAGATGGTAGAGAATTTGCTCCACTCTACTACAGTAAGTAAATTGATGTGTAAGGTTAGGAATTTCAACAAGCAGAATAAATGGGAACAGAAATATTTCGCATAATTATTTAAAAGTTGATATATTATAACTAAATGTAAGAATTAATGCTGTAATCAAATTTATTTTAAATAATTAGGAATATATCTTTAAATTTGTCTAGGTAAAGACATCCCTCGTTGGCAGAAGTTGACAAAGGAAGATTTTGTTGATACAATATTAAGCGATACGGATGACGAAATTGACCAGGTTGAACAGACTGTGGCAATGAGTGGCTTCCATTCGCGGAGTGTTCCTGAAGAAAAATTTTATTGCATTGTATGTCAGCTGTTTCATGTACTATCTAACTTAATTCTACTAAAACAATTCTTTGGTACTATCTAAATTAAATCTAAAAAATTTGCCTTACTTTTATTTACAAGTAGTTTGAATAAATTTCTTCCATGTTTACAGAACGATGTAGGTGATTGCTGTGCTACCGAAGAATTGAAAAAGTTACATAAAAGATTCAGAATAGAGATTATAGAAAAAATCGCGAAGGAAAAAGAAAGTCAACCGAAATCCGATCCTCCGAATATTCTTGCATTTCATGACAACTGCAAATGTAAGGTGCTTTTGTTTTTTTTTGCGAATTAAAATGATAGAAAAGAAAAGGTTTTCAACTATTATGGTTCCAGTGGATTTCATTGTTAGATTTTTCCAAAGAAACTTCTGTACTTCTAGGTGGTCATCACTCGGATACTGAAACTGAATCAGAAAGTTGTGATTCCGATGATTGTGTTGATGACAGTGATGAGAGAAGTGGCAACGTATCTGTTGACGAACAGCAAACTGATAGTAAAGATAAAATTACTCGTGTAAAAATGAGTGAATCCAAAAAGCATAGTACCGTTGCGAAACAAGAGGTTAATTTGAAAAATTTAAATCTATTTACAGCTTTTATACCTTAGACATTGTAAATATTCATTGTAGGTCATTAGAAAACGTAACCATCCAGCCATTCTTCACAGTGATGTTTGCTTCAATGAAATTGGTCAAATGAATGATGGACCAGAATGTCGCTGTTCATGGGCAGCTAAAAAATCCGGCTTACGTCATAATAAATATGCTGGAGAGACTGTTATAGAAAAATGTGATCTAAGCTCAAGGTTAATATGAAGATCAGTGATATTTTGCATATGAAAGGAATTTGCTACTAGTAAGTAGGGATGATGTTTGATATTCCGAAATACACCGTGGTCATAGCAAATTAAAATTATTTTTTAGCAATTCGCATCGTTTGTGGCACTATATACTTTATACTGAACCTAATCCAAATACTGTTGTTCGCCGTTCAACAAAAATTAACCACCGTGGTAGGACTTATGAACTGGAAGGCTTTTCTGTTTTTTTTCACAAGTCCCTTCCATCGAATTTTCCCCAAACACCATTGTCAAAATGGACAAGTGAATATAACATTAAATTTATGGAGGAAAATATTCCAACGGTTATTTTTCATTCATATATTTTACATTTTTTTATATCTTTATTTTTTCATCCGCAAGTATTTTCACTTTTCCAATAATCTAGTGAAGAAAGTTTGAATCTGTTAATTTTTTCTTTTCGAAATTAACTTCAAAGATACTCAAAGATCTCAGCGAATTTTCCTAATTTGGTAGTTTTGCAGAATTTTACAATAGAAGACTTAGAATTATTCCATCATTATTTATTTACCGATATTATGGAAATGTACGATTTAAAAAAATACCCTTTGGATAACACTGATGGTTGTCCTTATTACCATTGTATGCCAAGATTTGTTTACAACCTTTCAGGTGATTGTCTTCTTCCATTTTTGCATTTTTTCAATTTTTTTTGCAGCTTTTGCATAACAGTTTTGATATAGCAAATATTTTCAGATGGCGGGAAGGAGATATTACCAATGTCTGTTGTAATGACTTATCTGATTGAGAGCTATCATTGTCTTATGACAGAGTCCGAGGCGCAGATTCTTAAACATGATGCTGATGCTTTTCGCGATTTTGCTGAAAATGTCCGTGGTTCCCTGGTTATGAATGCAAGTAAGGTCAGTTAATTATCCTTAGATTTACTGAATTTAAATCCTAATTTCATAGCATTTTGTCTTAATCGTGAATAAACATATTTTGGGCCGCGAATCGATCTTATTTCGTAGAAAAGCACAAAATTTCATTGTTTTTTTTTGAGATTGTTTTATGCTCAGTTTCTCTTTTTCCAGAGGCCATCGACAATTCGGGTAGATCTCATTGATAGGCCAGATTTTTTGCCCAACAATTCGGATACTCTCTTTCCGTTGATTACTCACTTTGGTGTGAGGCCTTCTTCCCATACTTATAATTCAAATGCAGAGTGAGTTGTTTCCCGATGGTCGATATTGTCTAGTTAAACTCGAATTTTTTATCGAATTCTTGCGTGTACAGTTTTGCATGATCTTTGCTACTGCAGGTATCAAAAAATGTCCAAGGAATACTTGCGAATGCGCAAAATTCTTGCAATGAAGCCACGTGTAAGTGCGGAGGAACGAGGAAAACTTGCACAGAAAGCTTCACAATTAAAAGCATTGCGTAATGATAGGTAGCTTAGAGAAAGTTCTACCTTTTCTTCCAGCTTCACTTATGGTTACACAAACTGCAATAATTTAATTAAATGAAAACTTACATCAAGAACAGTGTTTTGTTATTTTCTTATTTTTATAATGTACGCTTGATCATACACTCCAAAAGTTTACGATTCACACACCTTAAAAACTCAGTTAATCTTCTTTATTTTCTTTACTTTTTTTAGTCAGCTAAAGCGTGATTTTGTTATGTCAGTGTCATCTCGCAGCTTCTATAGTACAGGACTATTTCCCGATATTGTGCAGGTATTTTTTGTGTTTAAGCGTTTAAGTTAAATTTGTTAAAATATTCGAGTCATAATGTTTTCAGCATGGTTTGCTGCTAATTCTTGCATGTGCACATGTGCGTTTTCAATGGTCTTTACAAGTATATGAGCAAGAACGCATTCACTATGTTTTCAAGGTTTTTCATTCTTGCCTGAATAGCAGAAATAATTCGAGTCATACTGTTTTTTTTTTGTTGTTTTTTTTGTTTTTTCGTATAGTAGTCTTTTTAATACTAGAAAAAAAAGTCTCTTCATTTGTACAGTTGCAGAACCGTTCGCTTTTGGAACTGGCATTGACCCATCCATCATATCGTACTAATTATGGTACTAATAGCGATCATGCTCGTAACACTCTTAACAATTGTGGTGTACGTTCTTCCAAGCAAAGAGTGCATGATCGTTTAGTGCAACAGCAGTTAAGTGCTAAGAAGCGAGGTATTTGCTTCCTTATAATCGCTTGAAATTTCGTTCTCTTTTCTCTTTTCTATTATATCAACAAACTATAATTCGAATTATGATGCATCTGTGTTGTCAGTTTAATTTTAGGTTTTCATACCCTAATGGAAATCATGTCGAAATTGGGTTCAAAAAAAGCGGAACAATCGCCATTAAATCATAATGAACGACTCGAATTTTTGGGCGATGCTGTTATTGAATTTATTACTACTATTCATTTGTTTTATATGTTCAGCGAACTTGATGAAGGCGGTTTGGCCACTTACCGTTCAACAATGGTTCAAAATAAAAACCTTGCTTTGCTTGCTAAGGTTTTCGAATTTTTGGATTTAAAAGCGTGATTTTGCTGCTGGATGCAGATTCGGTGCAGTGTGCTTCAAAGTGATATGCTTTGAATCTTATGGGGCACTTTTTAGAAGATAGGCCTGGACGAGTTTATGTTGTACGCGCATGGACCTGATTTATGCCATGAATCTGATCTTAGACATGCGATGGCAAATGCTTTTGAAGCAATGATGGCTGCAATTTATCTTGACGCTGGAATCGATGAGTGTGATAGGTTTGTCATAAATCATATATAGATAGCTCTTTAATCAGTGTTTTATTCTCTTCTTTTAAATTAATCTTTTTAAGAATTTTTGGTCACGCCATGTTTGCTGATTCGAAGGAATTACTTTCTGCATGGTTTGATTTAGAAGACCATCCTTTAAAGGTAAATCAGATTCATTCTTTACTTTAAAAGAATTTTTTTGGGAATAATTTTTTTGTTTCTGTTTTACAAGAAAAAATAATTTTTATTTGTTTCTGAAATCATTGCTGCTTTAGGTTTTTTTAAGGACATAAGGACTCTTTTGAGTTGAAAAAAAATTCAATCTTTTTTGGGAAAATGAAACAAAAGCATTGATTTTAAAATTATTTCTTTGAATCGTTCCTAAAAACTACTTAAAAAAATGCTTCAAGATCAGATTTAAGCTATGGCAGACAAAGCTTTTCTTCATTTTTTTGGAGGTTTCCATCATTTTTCCTGTGTTGTTTGCTCTTCAATTTTAATTTTCAGCGAGATAATCCAAATGGTGACCGTCATTTGATAAATGGTGTACCGGCGCTTCAGCTGCTCACGGAATTAGAGAAAAACATCGGAATTACATTCAAACATATAAGAGTGCTTGCTAAAGCTTTCACTAGAAGAAATATTGGCTTCAATAATCTTACTTTGTGCGTGTTTTTTTTTTTTTTTTTGATTTTTTTCTAAAAAATCGGATTTTTTAATTAAAAAATTGATTTTTTAAAATTAAGAGACAATTTCTTAATTTCGCTCTCTTCAATATTTTTAAGGAAAGACAAAATTGATGTTCTTAAAAATTTCATGCAAAAAAATGATCAGTTGTGAGTAAATTTGATATAAATTTCATAAAACTTTATAGAGGTCACAATCAACGTTTGGAATTTCTTGGGGATACGGTTCTGCAGTTGATAACAACGGATTATCTTTATAAGCACTTTCCATACCATCATGAAGGTCATTTATCAATATTGCGCACTTGCTTAGTTAGCAACAGAGTAAGTTCGGTTCAACACTTTAAAGTTGTAAACGGTTTATCAAAAAATTTTTCTAAAGGAGACCTGAAAGCACAAAAGTACAAATTGGTACACCCAAAAGTCAGTGCAAAAAACAGTTTATAATTCTAACTTGTCAACAGTAAATTTTTAGACACAGTCTGTAATTTGTGATGATATTGGCATGACGAAATATTTGGTAACGCCAAAAGTTATGCAAAAAAGTGGGATGCCAGTGTTAAGAGTAAAAGACAAGGCTGATCTTGTTGAGGGTATGTCCTCTCTATATGTGAATTGCACATAGTTCATGATTACAAATTCATTATCATGAGCTATATTGTTATAACAGTTGCTGGTGATTATTTTCTAGATGAACTGCGTCGTATTCATGTTCACTTAGTATTTTAGAAAGTGGGTTAAAAAAAATTCAAAAAATTTTCTCTCATATTACTGTCTGTTAGCACAATAAGCACAGTTGTCAGGTACATATCATAATTCACTGTTTTCTATTTAGCATTTCTTGGTGCTCTTTACGTTGATCGTGGATTTGATTATTGCAAAGTTTTCTGTAGAATTTGTTTCTTCCCCCGTTTAAAAGTACGTTTTTGATACATTTTTGAATAAGTTTCATTGGAATCTAGTTATTCATTTCTTTATAAAATTTTTTCTTTAACTGTTGAAATGATTTGTAAACGGCGTGATTAGTTTTTGCATTTAGGATGCATTTATGATGGAAAAGTTAAAAAGTTGACTGATAATCCTTTTCAGTTTTTTATTATTGCTCAACACTGGAATGACCCAAAATCACAGTTACAACAGTGTTGCTTAACTCTACGACAAATGGATGGTGGTGAACCAGACATCCCGGAATATAGAACAATAGCTGTTGAAGGTCCAACGAATACGAGAATATACAAAGTTGCCGTTTATTTCAGGTAATATTGTGCTGTTTATTTCTGTCTATATAATGCTTAGGTGATAATGTTTTTACAGATGTGATTGTGTTTTATAATTTTGTATAGAACCGTTTTTTAGTTTTCTCATATGAAGAGACTTTTGGCTGTGTCTATTGCTATCTTTATTATTTAAAGACATATTCCATCATTAGTTGTTTTTAGAAAGAAACGATTAGCAGTAGGATGTGGACATACAATGCAGTTAGCTCAAATGCGTGCTGCGGAGAATGCCTTGATAAAAAGATCTGATCTCTTTCCAACGCTGAAAAATACAGCAAAACATAGTGGAGTACAAAACAGACGTGAAAATGGTCTAGGTGCCAAAGTGTAAATTTTTGTTTATTTTCTTTTCGCTTTCTTAATGTTTGGTACTTGATGAAGTATAATCCTGTCTTATTCTGAAGCACAAAGCATATTACTTTTAATTTCAAACTATTTTCCACTTTTTTAAAAGGAATAGTTTAAATTTCTTCTAAAAAAGTCCATATTTTCTATTTTCAGTGTAGTTTGAGCAGAATGATCTGAAAATAGTCGTTTTAAATTATACAGTTATTTTTAAGGAAATGCGAACTGGCTGATCGGACAAAACAACGTATGCTGTTCGACTCAACTCATGTTTTGCAATCGGACTTTGCAACTGGGTCATCACTCACTGATGGTACTCAAACTTCCAGACCACAAATCATTTCATTGCTTGACCTCAAGTTTGATGCTGATGGTTGTCTCATTTAGTTTCGTCAAGTAGACTTTTGAAAGAAATATTTTTAAGGAAATGCGAATTAGCTGATCGGACTAAACAACGTGCGCTGTTTGAGTATTATTATATTTCAATGCTTATTGTGCTTTATAAGAATTTGTTCATTTCAATTATCTTAGCCTGTCTATTGTGTATTGCCCATTTTAAAGTAGAGTTTAAAAAAATTTTCAATCTATGCGTTATCTTCCGGGTTGTCAGGAACTGAATATTTCACAGTGTGTCAATCTTATCTGTATAATGATCGTGATATCACTTTGGTGAGATGTATTTTACTTCTTATTTATCACATGTAAACTTATATACTTGCTTCTAGTTTTCTTAGCTTGACGCTTTGTTAGATTGTGCATAATAATGTTTAGGAAGTATTACAAAGCTTAAGTCTGTAATATTAATAAATTCTGGAACTGAATTTTAAGGAGAATGCAAGTTTAGGCGTAGCTATTAATTTAAATAAAACGAATAGAAATTTTGTTGGAAGAACCTGAGTAAATCAACAGGACGTTACTTATTCACTTTCATGGAAATAGGAAATTTAAATTCGCAGGAATCTTACCAGGCAGTTAGCTGTATCAAAAGAAAGATATGTGAATGGAGCGGGATTTGATGTTCAGAACTCTTTAAATTTTGAGTGTGCCTTAGCAATTGCATTGTGCAGTCCACTGCACTTATTGACCTCTGATAGTAAGATTAATGTTTTGTTGAAATTCTTCGGTTGCTTGCTTTTCGAAAAGCTAAACGTTCCTTTATTTAATGTTTTATAAGGAATAGTTTCCAGTAGTTGTTATTTAATCTCGAAATTTGCTTCATTGAAATCTGCATTAAGTCCTTACCAGTTAGTTTGTATATCAAAAAAAAAAGTTTGTTTTTCAAAATCTCTCTGTTAGCTAGCTATATGCGTTATTGCCTGTTACTTAGTGGTCACATCTATTAGAGATGTTGTACCTGTGAGACTCCGCGGGGGCTTTGAATATATTTTCCTGGGAAATTACCAGGGTCGGCCCATATGAGATCGTTGATGAATCCAATGTCAGTAATATCTGTTGGTCTGCAAATTCGTTCGAATTGGTTCCAGTTAAGAAGATCTTCAGAAATTCCCCCATGTGCTGCGAATATGCGTTCGCCAATCAGGGCTGCGAATGGCATACAGTTGAAAGTCTAAAGTTTGCTTTATTGTTTATTCCCAATCAGGATGCTTCTGTTTTTCTCCTAAAGTGATGTGGAATTTATCTCAACTGTATGTCAACTGTCAACTGTCATGCTTCATGCTGATTGACATATTCTCATTCTCAACAGTGATGCTATCGACCCATTTCTCTTGAAGATATTAGTTATTTTTCCTATTTTAATCATTGGAGCAGATTTTTATAATCTTATCGATTCATATGATAGGTTTCTTAAATGTGTCTTAATAAGTATATTTAAGAAAGGAAAATTTTTGAGAAAAATGTTATGCATGTTGGTATAATGTCCATAGTTGAGTTCCGGCATTCTTGTTTGGGAATCGTTGAATGCATTCCTCAAAAAAACCGTATATTCTGTTTACAGCACGTGTTTCATGATTGCCACGCAGCATATAAAGATGTTTCGGGTAGCGAACCTATGTATCATTTAGAACTTGTGATTTCAAGTCAAGAAAGAAAGAATTTATCAAAGTAGTGGTTTTTATTTCGAAGGCTTGGAGATAATTTGAATGTGTTACTAATTGTAAATTATGTTTAGTATTCATTTTTTTTTTTTTTTCAGTTGTGGGTGTTTGACGTTATTCTGTTCATATAATTTGAAGAATGTTTATAGCAGCGAGTAGTCGGGCAACAAAATCGTATTCATTTATTTCTTATTCGTCTTTATTTAAGCTTCAAAATAGTTTCATAATCTATTTAATAGTTGACCTTTTTTTTTCATGCAATATATATACTATAAAGTGTTTTCATAACTGTTTTTATCGACTATTAATAACTTTATCTCGAAGCAGCATTTTCGTCATTTCATAATTTCACCAAGAACATTTCCGTTTTAGGTTGTGCAGGAAGCGAATTACAGAAAGCATAGCAAAGCGAACCACTTCTGTCAATCATGATATTGCTAAAATAGTTGGACCTCCGATATTAATTGCGAACTCATTGGTGCTTCAAATTTTCGTAGATTTTTGTTTTTTTTGGAGTAAATTTTAGTTTCTCCTTTTCCAAAACACTCTACTGGTATACTTTTAGGGATCGTACGACCCAAAATGGCCACTAGATTCTTTAGATAAGTCGCAACGTACTCAAATGAGCTATTTGGGGCTAAGTCTGCTCAAAAAACATGTTAAGGATTTTCAAGTCGATCAGCAGAAAAACATTTACGACGTTATTGACGGGTATCATATTGATATTTTGAATTCATCAACTTATTTTTTTTTTTTCGAGTTTTTATAAAGGTTAATCTGTTTCTCTCAATTAATCTTTTGCGATATTTTCAGGGAAAGCTGAAAATTTTTTTTTAATGCTTAACATTGCAGTTAAAAAAATATCATGCTTAATTATGGATTAGGGGAAAGAGGATTTTATGAATTTTTTCACTTTCACTAGAATTCTTTCGCTTTTCTTTTATTTCCCTTCTTATTTCACTCTATTCACTAATTTTGCAGCATTGAATGGAACTACTTGGTTACGGAAGCACATCTTGAGAAAGCACTGTATATACTGAATGACCCTAAATGCAATGTTAAGAAATTGATGGATTCAGAAATTACTATTCTTATAAGTGCCACTGGATGTCGATGTCAGATGTTATCTGCAGCGCAAAGAAATGAATATACTATTCGTTTACTTAATATTCTTAAATTAAGAGGTTGGTTTACTAGTCTGTCAAATTAAATTCTCGGTTATCACTATTTGAATTTTCTATAAGTCCAAATTAGTTATCGAAATGTTATAGTTTTGCTGTTTTCCCGTTCGTTAACTGTTTCATTTTTCATTACTCGACCGCACCTGAATTCATGTAAGTCGAAAATCAGAAACTTGAGATTAGGTTAGACTTAACTTTTAAAATTCTTTGAGTGTTATGTCGTAAATTTCGAGAAAAATTAGTATATTTACAGGTGCTATATTAGGTATTACTGCTCGAAATGCTCTGCTTGCTGTTCAAATTGACAACCGAGTAGATGTTGATGTAGTGAAAACACTCAAACAGTTCGAGTCAGATGGGCTTGTTCCTGATACCCAAACATACGGCCAGCTTTCTCGAATTTATGCACGAAAAGCCGATTTAAAGGGAATATTGTGAGTTTTTTCTGCAAAATGATCTCCCTATGTTTGCATACATATATTTGCATTTATCTTTTTTTAAAAAATTTTCCGCAGGCTTTTGCTATAGTAATCACTAATTAGGTAAGTTCTCTTTGCGATCTAAAAACTCTTAATTATATTGAACCACAACTATTCAGCTGCAGCTAACAGTACTTGTGAATCTTGTCGCTTGAAGTAGGACGCTCATTTACTTTCCTAGTATCAGATTGTTTACTATTTTTTGTATTTGCAGTGTTGTTTTCAGCGAAATAATCAATCATATCAGAAATATTGGAGTAAAATTGTCCGATCAGGTACTTGAATCTATGGTTTATAGTTTGACAAGTTCAGGAGAGGATGAGAAAGCAAAATCAATTATTAAAGTAAGCATTTCTCATAATCTTTTTAAACTTTTAGTAAGAGTTTGTCATAAAAGGGATTTCAGTATCATATTTTTTCTCTTTTAAGTATTTTCTGCTTTTCAGAACGTTGCAAATAATATATTTTTGGCAGATGGCTTGAAGATGGCATATACTTTGGCGAAAGCCGAATACTTTGATGATGAGAATGCTCTAGAGGTTAGAAATGGATAACTTTTATTATCTTTCTTTTTTTTTTTTATTAGGGAGACCACCAATACTAGAGAGACTTCACTAGTGGCAAGGATGCTTTCAGTTTCTGGACGAAATTGCGGATATCGACACTTTCGTGGAAAAACACCAGATTTCGATATATGAGTTATTATTTTGTCTTGCTAAAAAGGGAAACTTGAAAGCAGTTGTAAAGGTATGTATATGTCATTACTTTTGAAATTGCTTTTTAATGATGGAAAGCACGAATGATATGTGCTTTTTTTTAAACAATGAGAAGCTTTATCTTACTAAATTTTAGCTTTCAGTTCCATCTAATTTTATTTTTAGTTAAGAAGTCTTCTTCCATCTTTATCAGAAGATGTAGATAGTCAGTGGGGATACATGGTTTACAGTAAAGCCCGCACATTTTTAAGTAAAAAAGAAAAGAATATTACGGCAGCTGCATTGTTGCTTGATTTTATTCCGAATACTGAAAAACGGTACGTTTATTTTATTCTTTCTGATTAATGTTTATGAATACAACATTTTTCTCCTTCTGCGCCCTCTTTCCTTTTTAGTTTAAATCAGTGATATTATAGAATTGAAATGTCTCAATCAATTCCAAAAATATTGGTAATTTAACAAATCTAATATAGCGTATATTTAGCGCTTCATATTTAGTTCTACATCAAGATATTTATCATGTCGCTATATTTTATGCTTTGCTTTTTGAGGTTAAAATTACGGTCCATGCTAACAAGACTATTCCCATCGTCTATTCAAAAGAAGCATATTGCAGATGCTATAAGTGTGTGTACAATCTTCCAGAAATGCAATATCTTGAAGTAAAGGTTTTTTGTGTCTATCTGTAATTTCTCAAATTGTATTTTGCATTTTGCATTTTGTTTATAAATATTAAATTGTTGCAGGCATCCATTCCGAATTTATTTAAACTCTGTAGCTTTAAATAATCCTAAGAACTTCCACGACTTCTTCGCAATTTACAAGGGAAGGGATGATTTTGCAGAACTGTATGATCGCCCTCATTTACAACTTCCTCTCGCAGTACTACATTTCAAAGAGGTGAATTGTTGGACATTATTTTAATGACATTAAAGTAATGTAATTTAACCCTGTTTAATTCATTTGGCACACATCCATCTAAAGCACAAATATAATCTTTATTAATACTGTTCAACATACATAGACGGTAGTACGGAGAAGTTTCCTGATTTATGAATAATAATTGAAATGAACTTTCCTCGCTTTTCGTTAGAATGCCTGGCTTAATGTGTTGGTACAAGTGACTTATTCTTCCGGGTTCACATTCAGTTGCTTTGTTTTGTTTATCATTCAACAGCAACTTAGTGAATTTCTGGATGTGAACTTCAACTTTTTCAGTTGATGAAAACTGATATAGTAGAGAAGAAAGTTGAACATTTGTTGGAGATTGCACGTTCCCTTCAGAAAACTGGAATTGCATCTTGCGGTGAAAAATATTTTGCAAATGTGAAAGATTTATTTATTCTTCCGCTTTTGAAAGGTAATAAATTATTTACATGTTTGCATCAGTCCTGCTATTATTTTCATTCAGATATTTTAGCATTATATATATATATATATATATATTTTCTCTTCTTTCATGATGTTTAAATGCTTTAAATACTTGAAGTATTTCATTGCAGCTTATGTTATCTAACCTATTAGTAATATCACAAGCTGCAGAATAGGTATTTGAAACAGGCATTTGAAAATGTTAATTTAATACAAAGTAATGAATTGTAAGAATGAACTTCATTAGTTGTTAATTTAAGATTTGAATGCTCTGCCGCAGTTGATGAAAAAAATTGAAAATGACAGTCCACTTCAGTGTTTCGTAGTTGATGTTCTCACTACTTATTTGTTGGCAACGAAACAAATGCAGCAACTTCAACTATTATTGCATGGGTCAGTGTAGATCAATTTTTATATCACTGTCTTATTTTCTGTTATTTTTCCTCTGCTATGTTTTTTCTATTATGTTTCGCATAAATCGACATTACTTTTACTTCATTTTAAGGGCCTTGAAAAATTCTTCAGCAGGAGATGCTTATCCATATCAAGAAGTGAAAACTCTCATTCTCAACACGTCAATTTATAACAAAAATCTTATTTCACTTTGCTGTCTTTTACGGTTGCTTTTTCCATGTATGTTCCATTTCGTTACTTTACTTTGTTACTTTACTTTTCCTATACTCTTCAACGTTTTTTCAGCTCTGTTGAATTCTTTTTTGTAACAATTTTTCATCTCCGGGGAGGTTCAACTATTTTAGTGCCCGGTGTAAGCAGTAATCGTCAATATGGAAAAGGTGTGCAAATAATCAAAGCGGCCATCGTTGCCGGGGATTTGAATAAAGTCAAAGTGATGTGTGAACTGTGGTCTGCTGATAAGCGAATTGTTCTTCGGAAAATCGATAAGGACGATCTTTTGCAAACTCTTGACCGGAAGGGTGAACTGTCAAAGAAGCAGTTTGTAACTAAATTATCAGAAAAAGTAAAACCGCATGTGATTTCAGTCTTCTGTTTTTTTTCATTTTTTATTGGCGTAATTGCTTCCCTGCATTGGCTTTTTTAAAAAAAGTTTAACGCCATATGAAATTTAGATTCTCAGGACTTATTTTTGGATCCAGAAGTTTGAAGAAGTAAACATTACACAGATGAGAAATAAGTCATTTTTGACAGGGTGGTTTTTCTTGCTTTTTGTATAATATCTTCAATAAATTCTTAATTTTAGGCATTTATTTGAGGAACGATGTTTTCATTTGACAATATATCCTCTTAAAACAATTTCTATATTTTTGCTGAGATATAACATTTTTGAATTGCAGGTAGCAACAAGTCATGGTATTAGACAAAAGCCTGTAGGAAAGATAGAAAGTGGGAGTCAAAAACGCATGGATGCCGAATTAAAGAATGCACTTGATTGTGGTGATTTGGAAAGGGCGGAGAAAATTTGGGCTATTGGGTAGCTTTTTCATTTCGACTGGATCTCATTTTTGCATAATGCTAAAAGAATTCTGAATTGACCCAACTTAGATTTCCAGGATGTTCTGTCATTTTTATCAACGCAGTGAAATTTCATATATTGATTTTATCACCCTCGATAAACTCTCAATTTAGTAAATTTTTCGTTATTTTGAAATAAAATTAGTTTATTTACAGGTTGCAGCATATATCTCCATCTATAGGGTTGTTATTGGCTGAGAAATTATATTTTTCGAAAATGATGAATCAGTTCAAATGCGTTCTTATGAGACTTAACGAGCTTCATGAAGATCTCTCCTATCATGTGCTTATCAGTGTTAGATTTTCTTTTTTTTCTTTAGAGTAGGAGGAATTTGGTTGCAAAAGTTGGCATTAAAAATAGCAATCTTTTTTTATATGCTGACAATTTAACAGGACAAATATCTTTTATTATTCACAGATTATCTGTGATTTTTAATCAAGTCATTAGCAGATGTGAGTAAAATACAGTTTTTAAAATGAAAATGTTTGTTATTTCTTATGTCGCTGTAGTACGATTCGTCGGATGCATCAGATGCGCGAATGGTGTTCCTAAATGAAACGAGTAGGATACTGGATCTGCATTTAAATATTAAACAAGAGCTTTTATATAGCACAAGAGTTAACGCATTCCACGAATTAGTCGAGAAGTAAATTTTATTTATTTTTCGTTCATAACATTCAGCTTTTTCTAGTGAGAACATTTATACAAAACCTTTTTGTAGAAAGATTGAAATTGCAAGAGACTGAAATGGTCAAGTCTTGCAAGAAATGAATTTGTTAGATTTTTTTCTTTCAGAGGTAACCTGAGTCAAGCTCTGGATTTATTAAAAATAATAAGTGCTCAAAAAAATTCGGTGTTTGGTCAATTTGATTTGATGGGTGAAGCAATTGAAAGAGATGATACAGTGATCATTTCCGAAGGTCTCGTTCTTTTTCGTTCTTTTCGTGAACACATGGAAATTTTTGTTTACTTTTTCTTTCTTATCTTTCTTAATGCTTTTTAGGCCGTTCCAATAAAATTATTTAAGATGGTGTTTGACTATTAGCACCAGATAATTTCTTTGAAGTTAAACAAGCGATTATTTTCCAGTGCTTAATTTGATTACAACTTATCATGGCAAGGAATCATCATTAGCTGACTTTTGCATTGCTTTATTAGAGCGGTGTAAAAAAACGCACGCAATGAGACTGGTACAGGTGAGTAGTATTCCGGAGCGTTTTTAAATGACAGTAGAACAATAGAGATGTCTCACTGTTTCGTATTTGCAAATTTAGTGCTACCAAATAGACGTACGCTCATTTTTTATTTTGTTGTTGAAGGTTGCAGCCACATACTTCGACTTATGAATTTAACTAAATGCTGTACCTTCAAATGTTTTTCAGAGTAATAGTTTCCGACTTTCTAGTGCGAAACTTAATTATTATATTGATCGCGAAATCGATTTAGACCGGGTGCGCTCTAGAATTTTATGATATTTTTTCCTGCAAATTGAATTGTTTTTTTATAATAAATTGAAATTTCTCTGGTTAAGTTTCGATTCTAATAAAAAAATTACAGATAGACGTTATCCTTGATTTATTCGAGCTGTGCACTCCAAATAGGAATGTGGAACAACGAGATTTGGAAAATGCTATGTCCAAGATAGTTATTTTTTTTGGTAAATATGTTTTTAATTTCTAGCTTAAGAGAAATATTTCCCAGTTAAAATTCGTCATGCCAGATGTACATCATAGTTCATCACTCGCATATTTTATGTTCTTGAATAGCTCGGATATTTAGCAAATTCTTGAATAAATCATATTTTTTTTTCTATATGTTTATATTGCAGTTAAGCGGAAAAATAAAGCGATGATTAACCTGATTGAAGAGAGATTAAATGGTATTGGAAAAGGACTGACTCCGGAAATGAATTCATTACTATTGAAATTGAAAGAGCAGGATTTTGATATTATTAATAATGAAAATGTGCCAACTCAAAATCTTATTTCAACTGTTCGTGATTTTAAATAATTGAAATAGAATTTCTTCAACCGCTCTATCACCATTTATCTGAAGTAGAAACTACGAACGTAGCGATATTGACAATTTTGTATGTTTCGGGTCTACTACCGTCTTTTCCGAGTTATGTGTGTCTTGATGCCATGCTTCGAAGAAGAAATTCATGGTTTAAGTTTTTAAATCTAATTTACAGCTGTAATTTTTTTTTAATCATTTGTATGTATATTTTACATTGTTTTATAAATTCAAGTAAATAAAAAGTTATTTTTTTCATTTAAAAATCAGAGTGAAAATGGAAGAAATGTTTCTTAAGGCATTTGGGACAGTCTTTTTGTTCATTCTTTTTGGAAAGATGATTTCGGATTTTACTTTTTACGAATGATATTTCAGATTTTGAAAGTCCCATAATGAAGAGCAACATAAATTTTCTTAGATTTTCTCGAAGTAATTTAAATTGCATTTGGAAAAATGATGTCGAAGTTGCTATGGTGACGCGAAATTTATTGAAGTTCAATCGAGTCTCGGGAATCTTGTCCCTGCATCGGTCTCAGGTTTCGATGGACATGCATCGTATTCCTGTTAAAAACTTTGAAAAAGCAGTGAGTTCCCAAGCGTCACCAAATGAAATGACCTGTGTTCGGTGGAAAAAGCACGGTTGGACTGCAGATGTGAGCAGTTTAAATTATATACTTATGTGTAGCTGTAGTTGCAAAATCTGGTCCGGAAAAGCCGCAAAAATCAGCAATCAGATTTCCTTGTGTACTAACTATGAAAGGTTTTGTAATACTAATTTAAAATCTACAAATTTTTTTGTTGACTTGGAATTGCTTCAAAGTAATATTTATAGGTCGTGCCTTTGTGAGTTAGTGAGTGCTCACTTTTTCAAACATTTTATTGGGTATACATGCCACTGCAGATGTTTATATCTATTTAAATGCAGAACTAAATTCCAGTCTATGGTGAAAGATACATTCAATGAAATCATGAAAGGAAGTCGTTCATTTACTAGAGCTGAGGTGCAAAGAGCTATAAATCATTTTAATGATCTGTAAGTTTTCCGGGATTCTCATTGTTAATTAACAGTTCTTTTCCTGCTCATAAATATTGTATAAAAATTATTTAAGCAAGATGAAAGCAAAAGTGCCCGATTTCATGGCTGTCAAGTTGGCATCAGTTGTAACAATTCATCTTGGCTGGAAAGAAGGGGAAAAAGTTCTGGAAATGCATTACATGACTCATGGTGCAGAATTAAGATTTGGTTTGTCTTTTTCTATTTAGATTGGGCTTTTTATTTTTTATTTTTCTTTATTTTCCGTATTAATAATTTTCTTATTAGTGTACTATGATAATTATTTTGTTACATAAATCAATTATTTTTAGCAGGAGAAGCATCACTAATGGATGAACAAGTGGAAGGAGCCGTACGTCGAATTTTTGATAATATGGGCGGAGACGCATATGAAATAGCTCGTCATTTCTACTGTCGTCTTATTGATTTAAGGCTTTGCAAAGTGAAAGATTGTGTTTTCAGGATCTTCATACTGGATTTACTCAAAAAGTAAGTTTCATTATCTGATCTTATAGGAATTTTATCGTTTGTAATGATCTTTTGGTAAAGTAAAATACAGATGGTTAGCATAAATAAATAAATAAGTATATATATATATATATATATATGGAATTACGTATGATGCTTGTTCCTTATTCATTCATCTTGCGTTTTCCAATCATATTCTTTATTCTTTTCATCCATTGCTGAATCACTATCTTTCTTTTTCTTGTTTTCACTTAATTTCCTATTGAATATCTTCTCATCATCAATTACTACATTTAATGATTCAAATTCTGTTTTCCTCTGCTCCATAGATTTTTTTTGTTTCTCTGCGTTTTCCTTTTGCTTGCCATTCATGGATACGGCATTTTTCAGCAATTCATCATGTTTGGCTTTCGGTTTTTCCTCCTTACTTTGTGGCGTATCACTTTTACCATGTCGTCCCATTTTTTTTGCACCCCTGTTGTTTATTTACGTTTTTCATTACTTAACTGCTTGTTTTTATTCAATTTCTCGTCATACATTTGTTGTCTTTGTTCACTTAACACAAGATCCAGACATAAAAGTGGTACTTGGTGATTAAGAATTTTGCGAGTAGATATTGACTGTATTTGTGCTTAAATGCACTTAAGTAACATTAATTACCTACCAGTTCGATGTCTCTTCAGATTTTTAATAGACTTGTGAGGAACTTAGAACTAGTAATCCTATTAATCTTACTTATAAGAGAGAGCGAAAATTATTGATGGCTATGTCTAAAACTATTTGAAATTCGCTGCCGGGTTTCTAATTGTAGACAAAAATTGAAGGTATTATTACTAACCTGAATTGATATATTGTGCAGTGTAAAGATTCAGCTACATATAATATTCCAGCTTTGTTGTTGAGTTCGCCACAGTAATATGGTGCAGAAAATATTGTTAAACACTTTCTATCGTGAAGGAATTCAAATCCTTCTTGAGCAACCTGTAATAAAAGAATTTCTTTATCCAGTTCCTCTGTTCTGTTATTTTTTGCTAACTTTGTAAAAAAAACGCAATGATGAAAATGACAATAATAGTTAATGAGGAACAGTTAATGAGGCAAATATTGTTTATTAAGTCCTTACTCCAAGATTATAGAACCTCTGTAGTGCAAATTGAAAGTCTAAACATAGAACAATAAATCATAAAAGAGTCAATGTTTTAATTTTAGTAGTAACAATTTTTTCGTCACATCTCCATTTGCCTTGTTTTTTCCTTCCATTTTCACTTCCTTGCCCTCCAATTTTTTACTTTCTGATTTATTTCCCCTCCACAAAAATGTAATGAAAAATTGAAAATGATCTCAGTGTTTCCTAACTGCTGCATTTGGGTCATAGAGATGTTTAAATCTTGGTTCAAAACAAATGAACCGTATGAATGACGCATTACGCTGTAGTAATGATGTCCGGCATCGAATGATAAGTAATTTAATAATGGTTCAGTGATTTATTATGAAAGCTAATTAGTGGTAAATTGAAGAAAGCTTTAAGTCATATGAATAGGCTCTGTAGTGAAATCATGCGACATACTTGATGACCTCTGATAATAAGATCAATGTTTAGTTTTTGTTGAAATTCTTCGGTTGCTTGCTTTCCGAAAAGCTAAACGTTCCTTTATTTAATGTTTTATAAGGAATAGTTTCCAGTAGTTGTTATTTAATCTCGAAATTTGCTTCATTGAAATCTGCATTAAGTCCTTACCAGTTAGTTTGTATATCAAAAAAAAAAGTTTGTTTTTCAAAATCTCTCTGTTAGCTAGCTATATGCGTTATTGCCTGTTACTTAGTGGTCACATCTATTAGAGATGTTGTACCTGTGAGACTCCGCGGGGGCTTTGAATATATTTTCCTGGGAAATTACCAGGGTCGGCCCATATGAGATCGTTGATGAATCCAATGTCAGTAATATCTGTTGGTCTGCAAATTCGTTCGAATTGGTTCCAGTTAAGAAGATCTTCAGAAATTCCCCCATGTGCTGCGAATATGCGTTCGCCAATCAGGGCTGCGAATGGCATACAGTTGAAAGTCTAAAGTTTGCTTTATTGTTTATTCCCAATCAGGATGCTTCTGTTTTTCTCCTAAAGTGATGTGGAATTTATCTCAACTGTATGTCAACTGTCAACTGTCATGCTTCATGCTGATTGACATATTCTCATTCTCAACAGTGATGCTATCGACCCATTTCTCTTGAAGATATTAGTTATTTTTCCTATTTTAATCATTGGAGCAGATTTTTATAATCTTATCGATTCATATGATAGGTTTCTTAAATGTGTCTTAATAAGTATATTTAAGAAAGGAAAATTTTTGAGAAAAATGTTATGCATGTTGGTATAATGTCCATAGTTGAGTTCCGGCATTCTTGTTTGGGAATCGTTGAATGCATTCCTCAAAAAAACCGTATATTCTGTTTACAGCACGTGTTTCATGATTGCCACGCAGCATATAAAGATGTTTCGGGTAGCGAACCTATGTATCATTTAGAACTTGTGATTTCAAGTCGGAAAGAAATGTTTAGTTCAATTTATTACCGAATAATATTTGTCATGGAAGTGACTATTAAAGTTATGGAACCTAAGAGGATTGGAACGAAATACTTTGTAAGTTATCTTTTAAGGATTTGAAATGGAATACCTTGTACGCCATTAATAGTGAGACAGTTTCAAGACTCCATTGTCCTCGATCCACGTAATCACCCATGAATAAATAACGTTTACGTGGCGGTGTGCCTATTTTTGAGATGATTTTCACTAAATCCTGTAAAATTCAATTTCCTATTCTTTCTTTATACATTGGAAGACGTGACAAATTTGAGATAATATGTTCGGATGAAAAGTGAATCACCGGGAATTGTCCGTGTATATCGCCCAAAATATAAATGGGTGGATCTATACGAAGTAGAGTGCTTTCCATCCTGAATGTTTCTCGACATCGCAAGCATACCTCACGCACTTCGGATAATGTTATCATTGAATTCATATTATTTTCAGGAGCCACCAACAACTTCTATAATTTATGTAAATTTTTAGGACTACTTATTCCTAGATATCCAAAACCTAGACTTTATCAAGTATTGAATGAATTACTCATGCAGGTTCAAGTTAAAAGTTTGCAAAGTCTTTTTATTCTAATTATTAATAAATGTAGTTAGAATTAGATATTAGATTTTATGCGCTTCAAAAGTATATTTATTTGATCATACCTCAATGTATTTTTCTAAGAATTTCCATACTTTCTTTTTTCGTTCCAGTAATGCGCTTTCGGAACGTCTCACTATTCCTAAAAGGCAAAAGCGTTTATTTCTATTAGACATGTTTATTTAAACTTAGAAGAATTGTCAACTTGCCTAGATCACTTCGTTTTTTCATTCTGTATGTGAAGCGAGAAGAAATGCAAAAATGATTGATTTCTGAACTCAGCCTATGTATTAAATGATGTCAGAGAGGTGATACATATACTATTCTATTTCATTTTATTTTTCATTTTGCATCGTCACATTTTCCCAGTTTCTCCCAGTTGATAAGGCTACATTCATTCTTGCTTACTTTATTTCTCATAATTTCATTCTCATATTGTATTTTTCTTTGAATTTGGAATTTACTGTGTAGAGTCTGGTGATTTCAGATTTCTGTTTCATTTTAACATAGTATTAATAGCAATTCCATTTACCTCATCATTTTTGAGTTCTCAAATTTATTTTCCAGCCGTCGTAGGAACTCTTTTCTTCATGAATGAAAATTTCGAATGAGAAACCTTGAGATACTGCAGGAATCAAGTAAAGAAAGCGATTGAAGAATTTGATTATTTTTCTCATTACGGAAAACATGGCTCATTATCGAGTGCAGCATTTTTTGTGCTCTGGGCAGCCTTCAAAAAGAATGATGAATTATTTCAGAAAGGTTGCAATTTTAATTTATTTTTACCAATTCCTTCACAACACTGTGTTTTTATACGCTTTTGGCTTTCTTAATTTTAATTTTATACACCTTAGACATTCCCGAATTATCTAGTGACTCGAACTTGAAACTAGTAAGGTATGTTTTAGTGGGGATACATATATTATAAATTCTCTTTCAGCAGTAGAAACCATCAACGGAAGTATAGAAAGTCGTCTGCAGCAAATCTGCATTTTGGGTTCTGTATTTCTCATGGAAGAACTTCATATACAGTTTGTGGATTTTCTAAGGGTATCTTTGTATTCAATTTTCATTCCTTTTCTAATCTAACTTTATCCACTTTTTATTCTGAAGTGACCCTCTGAAATGAATCGATTCAGTTTTCATGTAAGTCATTTATTTCATTTATTATTCAGAAACAAAACTACAACATATCAACGGAAGACGTAGAATTCATATGTAATTTGACACGCAAATGTAAAAAGGTTAGTGAGGAATCTAGCGATTATATTATACTTTTACTTTTTTTCTTCGTTTTATGATAAATCTTTCTCGTCTCCCTTTCATTTCTCATCAAGGAAAGTGAACAAAAGTTAGTGAACAACAATTCATAAGCAGTGAATACAATCTATATGAGTGTTGAAAAACTTCCAGCTTCTAAAAGAGAAAAGGAGGTAAAAATTTGAATTTTAAGATGTTTTTAAACGTTGACAAATAATATCACTATTTCATTTCCTACACTCGACTTCATTTTTTTTAGCCCGCTATTTTGGAATCATTTATGAATGCTCATGAATTATTCAAATTGACTGATAAGTCACGAGCTCGAATATATGGAAGTTTAATCGAAATTCATGGTATCCTTCCTTTCCACTTGATCTAAAATTATCTGTATTATTCAGTTTTATGAAAAATTTTCTTAACGTGATTGCAGTCATTTGCTTTTCAGGGAAAGCGAACAATTTGACCGGCTTGTTGAAAATATGGGAACAGGTAGTTGCGGAAAAAAACTTGAATAATTTCAGAGTTGTGATTCTTAAACTTGGCCACTTCTACAAATGCAACAATTTTTCAGTTCCAACTGATATGCAATATTATTTGAAACAGTACAGAGAATAAGTTAATAAAATGAATAGTTGCAAATTCCTTTTATACACAGTCATTGGGAAGATTCAGCATTCATGTTAGGACTATTGTTTGCAAGCGAAATTTCAAGATGGGAAGGTGGACAATAAGCCAAGCAGAATTTATCTAGGACTGACTGACTGTCACCGCCTCAATACTGCTATTGTTACATGACGTAATGGAAAAGAGCTCATTGCACGTACACTCCTCCCACGCAATATTCATAGCATACCAGTACAAATCCCCTCTCCTTCCCTATCTTGTCTCGACCATCTCAAATGGCTGCTTTCATGTAGTTCGTCTCGTGCACTCGTACAGGTGTACTGCTGTGGTACCTGCTAGTTTATTCGCTTGTTTTACGTCATGTCGGGTGGAAGCGTTCTTTGTACGAAATTTCTCAGATTATTTGTAATCTGTTCCACTTTATTTTTCTTACGGCTAGTGTAAGCATTCATGTTAGGACTATTGTTTGCAAGCGAAATTTCAAGGTGGGAAGTGTGCAGGAACGTGAAGTGAAATCAATATAGGGCTGAAAGTTATCGACCGTGATGGACACTGGACGCTACACATCGGTTTGTGTAGGTTATCCTTTATCATTTTTTCATTTTTCTGGATCATTTTTCTGCAATACAAAAAAGAGATGAGCCTCTCTCAATTCTTGCAAGTTCAATCAGTCAAGCCTGTGATATTAGTTAAATTATTTGTTGAATTATGTAATTACTCTCTTGAATTCTATGAGATGAACTATATATTCATAATGGCTATTTGATTATCATCATTTTTTTTTTTTTTAATTTTGACAAATGCAAGCTAGAAAAAGCTGAAAATATCTTTCTAATATCATGCACAGAACCCATAAAATGTTTCAATTCAAGATTATCTTCAACACTAAAGCAAACTGAAGTATACTGATGGTATTATATGTATAGTACCATCACTATATTATATTAATTGATTCAGAATAAGGTTTTTGATGTTTGGTTACAAATCATATCATGAAAGGCTTTGGCAAGATTCATCTTTGCTACAAATTGGACTAAAGAGTACAATATGAGCCTTGCTTGTTATAAAGTTAAGCTTTAAGAACAGGAGGAATAGTATCAGATAATTCTAATATGTTTTCTTTTCCATCTGTTGATTTAGCCTTATGCACTATTTTCTAGCTAGGATAGATATGTGTACGTTGGTATGATGACCAATTTAGAATCCAAATTACTTAGAAAATTTAATCATGATTTTCAAGAATAATGAACTGCTGGAATATGGATCAGAACGAGGATTTATATACTTATTCGATGGCACTATTGGATCTCACATATCTTTACCTGATGGGATCGTCCAGTTAGTGTTCCGTTACCTTTCAGGTAATCTTTTCGATAGTTGGATGATAGGTTTCTTTGGTAGATATTTTGCGCTTTTGTGAGACTTTACTGGGTTTCCGAAAAAATTATGAGATTTTATTGCAATTTTACGCACTGAATCTAAATAAGATTGTAATATAATTGAATTAATTCATAAAATAAAAGATGTCATATCTCGAATTTTAGTTCATGAACTGAAATATGTAAGCTTGACATGTCACGCTCTTAATAATGCAATTTGCAAATACATATTAATTGATGCGTCAAGATTTGAATGCGAAGTCGTGGAGCATGAAGGCTTGTCTCGCAAGACACGAAGCAATAGCTATGCTTGGGGTATTTTTTCAGCTCTAGTGAAGAACACCATTAGCAGCTATCAGACAGACTGATTAGATTTGACGTATTATCTTTATGGAGACAGATATGATGTTAGTAGTGACTACTAATCGTTAGAGAGTTCTTTTGATTTATATAATAACCTCAACCACCCAGCTTTAATATCACATACTGTGTTAGCTGATGAATTAAATCAAATAATGGTTAGAACAGTTTTGAAAGTGAAATCAGTTTTCTGTTTATGCATTTTTATTTTGTTAAGAAGGCTTTTTTTTCCCTATCCTTATGGCTTTTCCTAAGGGTAGAAACTTGTAATTAATTGTTCTCAAACCTTTTATAATAATTTTTTGTTTCTGTTATTTAATACTTTTCCATGATATCAGTATGGTTGTTCTAGTTATTAAATAAATTCGGTCAGATCAATTTCAGAAGGAATACTACCATTTCAGGAAACTTGCTGAAGATGTGTACAATATTTTGGCCTGCTCGAGAAAGAAGAAATTTTATGCGTCATTTTTATTTGATGGTATTGTTGTTTCCAAACATTCAGCTATTTCTTTTACAACTTAAAAATATTTTTAAACTGAACTAACCGAACAAACAATAGTTCTCATTTTTCAGAATAAGTCAGTCGACAGTCACACAATTTGGGGGCAGTGTTTTTCCGGAGTAAGGATTTCGTTATTTCATGATGTCATGGCTTAAATGGCTTTATGTTTATAAGGTGATTTTTTTCAGAATCTATGGTTTTTTCATCTTATACATTTGCAGTTCTACGAAAATTGGGATCGTAAGGCATGCAGCGAATTTTTAGATTCCGTTATACGTTTCACCGATTTAACACGATTGCTTACTGTCGTAATGTCTGATAAAGTTGGCAAGCACTATCAACTTGAAATGGAAGTAAGTTATTCTTTCTATTCTTCTTTTCAGCATTCTGCTGAAACAAACAGTCATTTTCATATAGATTTCTCTGTATCATCGGTTCCATAGCTATCGTTATGACAAATATGAAATATTTCGAGATTCGACAACGATTTCATGGTTTCTTCATTGATCAGCTAGCAGAGTCCGAATCAGAGCAAGGATTTTGGCTTTCTGTGCTTCTACGCACTCAGAAAAGTGTTGCAGAACAAGGGCGACTATTCATGCTCTTATTCGGCCCTGTAAAATATATTCATGGCGAGGGTCTGTTATAAATTTAAATTGAGTTTTCTAAATAATACAGGACGAAAATAATTAGTTTATTATGAGGAGGAACATTCTGAAAAATTATTTGTGTTACTCACTGTAAGATTTACCACTAAGAGGAAGCGGAAGAATTGTGCATAATAATGTTATTATAATTAGGAAATTCATAACTCATTCCAATTGAAATAAATTCATATTAAAAGTAATATAGAAAAGCCTAGTTTGAGCACATTAGAATATAGGAAATAAAATTGATTTAGGACGAATTGATTGGTATATGCTCTCAGAGACAATTTTCACCAGAAATCAGTGCATCCAAATTATCAAGCCATTGTCATCAAATCTTTGTTGTCTTGTGAAAACAATGGAACTGAAGTCGGAATTTTCCTGGAGTGATTCTGAAATTTTCACTTTAATGGAAGAAATAACAAGTATTAGTCAATATATTGACTTTCTTAGAATATCTTATTAAAAGATTTAAAGTGAAAATTTTCAAGAATTTAGCAGAAAATGTAGTTGAATGTTATTCATTCATAATACTTTGTCTTAATACGTTATCAGTATTCTTTAGGTGCACCACAAGTCTGGATATTTCACAATTTTGCAAGCTTACTCTTACTGAGACCAGAATTAATACGGATTGCTCTTTATTATCGAATAATTTATGGACACTGTAAAGAAGCTGCACATATGTTGCATGTCATGAAAACGGTACAAACTTAAAACATTTGCCACGAGAAATGACTGAAATGACTTTCTTTTTTTTTATTAGACCTTTCATATGGATAATTAAAATACTTTAAGTGCATTGCCACTGCTTTTAAAACTAGCATTTACCGTCTCATTCATCATGAATGAAATATCCAGTTCAGATGTAGCACTTTTCAGGTGTATTATCGATGGGGATGTGGAATTGTGGAAAGTTTGTTAACACCTCTGCTGGAAATATTTAAATTGTTAAGTATGGTGCAGCGCCGACATTTCCTTGCTGAAATAGTTTTGACACAGTCACACTTACTTGATGAATATCTTCGACGCTTTCCATGTTACTATTACATAATTTCTTCGCTTCCTGATATAACCTAACTTATCTGTAGTTTTCTACTTTTTTAAAAGAAAATTATCATATGTCTTTCTATCGTTATAAATACAAGTAGATTTTCAACTGTTGTAGAACATTAACTACACTTATCGAAACTAAATCCTAGCATATCTTGTCTGTTATTGTTACAAGTTACTATGAATCTTAATTTTTTCAATCTTTACTTTACTAAGACTATGAATTCAATAAATTTAATTTAAATTTACAAAATATTTACATTTAGTTGATCGACTGCATTTTCTGGACGAATTGACAGCAAGCAGTGCTATATTACCGCTTCTATCGATACTAGCCGCTGACATTTAATTCAGCTTGATATATACACCTTCGAACAGAAAGCCCTTTTTTGCGTTGATCTAACTTAATTCTACGTATAGTTGATTTTAGTGGAACTACATGGCCTGCGCGAATTGCTAAAATTAATTTTGTTTCTTTATTCTTACTGTAAACAATTGTAGTGTTTAGACGAAATATAGTCTTTTCGAGTTTTCTGTTAAATTTTTTCATTTGACGCATCAATAAAAAATTTTATTACTTTACTGTTGGTTCGCACAGTTTATTAGTTTTTTCGGCATAGGAGTTCTTTGAATGTCCGTTTATTTTTTAGCAGCATTATCGAGAAATAACTTCTCACTTTTTCACTTTATCAGTTATTTCTTCGAGTACTACTTTCTAACAATGCTAGTAAAGAATTTGATAATAAAATTCAAAAATTGATTTTGCAGTACTGCGTAGCATAAAATAAGCAAGCGAGGGTGTGGAAATTATTTCTCAGATTTCGCTGGATAAGACTGAAGACTTAACAGACCTTTGCGAATAAACTTTACACAGTAATAAATTCTTGCTAAAGAAAATCTTTATCCTTGCTGCATTCCGTCATTCATTTGCAATTTCAGTTTCAGTTAAATTTCAGTTAAACATAATAGTCTTTCTAAATTTCAAATTTGATCTAATGTTCAAGGATGTAGAAATCACTTTTATCTATAAGTACTTGCAAACATTGCAAACAGCAGTACTGTTGTCCGCGTTTTCAGAAATAGTCTAGTTTTTCCTCAGCCTTTGTACTACATTTATGATTTGATGGTGAAGGACATAACAGTTGCTATTTGTTTGTTTTTAGTTTCTGTTTTAGTATTTACAATAACTGGTTATTTAAAACATCGGTGTTCTTTCTTTTTCTTGTGTTTCTTGAGTTAATGTTTTTGAATTCGAAGTGAAATTAACGAAATGTCCTGTCTCGACATGTCCAAGAGTAATTTTTTGTTAATAATTTTTATTGAAGAAGCAGTTATGCTGTGTTTTATAGTTACATATGTTAGTGTTGTTATGTTTGGTGTACGCTACAACAAATGTGGAGACAGTACAGCAAAAATGTCATATGGAACCTACAAATCATTCATTTAGCGGTGTTTTGCATATTTCATTACGTGCTGATATAAAACAGTGCAAACGAGAATGTCTTCTAATAAGCAGCAGCCAGTGCTCGTGAGTTTACAACTGTAAATGTAAATCTTTATTAAATTACTAATATTCTTTGGTCATTTAATGCACTGTGCAACTAGTATTGAGGCTTAGCCTGATTATGGTTTTGCGTGAGTTTTGTATGAAACCAATGTAGTCGTTTTATATTTGATTTATTTAGGTCAGTCATATATATTACTAATAAAAATCTTTGTTTACTTATAAGTGGTCAGAGAATCGAAAGGGATGAATTCAGCGATCACGATACAATAAACTTTCTTAGAAAATGTCGACGTAAGTTATTTTACTAGTGTTTTGAACGTGAACTTTTTTATATCGTCTGCTTATTTTGATAATTTTACATTTGGAACATGATTCTGTATCAGTTTTTTCTGAGACCTCGACATTTTAATAGACATTGTTAGGCTGAGTCATCGATTCTTTAGATTGTATGATATACTGATTATTAGTGATGAGAAGGACCAGCAGACATTATGTACTTGGCTTTTAAACGCTTCCACATCGAATTTTTATGTTTTACCACTAAATATATAGATTATTGGGTCATAAAGCACTTCAAGTTATATCTTACCTTGACGGGAACTTTGCAGGTCGTACGGAAGTTCAAACGATACTTCTTACAAAAGCGTGTTTTAAAGAATTTCACGGCAGAGTATTAGTTGGTGTTGTTGACGAGTTCTATGAGAATGTATCGCGAATGCAATGTCGGAAAGCTTGTGCTATTTCATTAATTCAAAACAATGTCTTTTGCAAAGCAGCTATTTATTATCCAAAAGAGAAAGTAGGCCAAAGTTCGTTTAACTAGTTACTTTCTAGTTGTAGTAAAATTAAAAATTTATTAAAGTTTATATTGGAGATTTGAAAATGCAGGAATGTATCATCTCGTCGCAGAATCGTTTTGATCTGCCTGAATTGTTCATAGAGGACGCAGCAGCAGTGTATCTTGAAAATAGATGTGCAGACAATCAGTTTTTGAACACAGCTCAAAATAAAATTGATGCCGAAAAACCAGTACTTCCATCAATAAGTGCAAGGAGTTTTTTCAAGAACGAGCAGCTTTCACAAAATAATACTAACAGTATGTTTCTTTTCTAAGTATTTGCTGGCAGCAAAAAGTAGAAATTCTCATCATAGATTATTTAATTGTCGTGAATTATGCCCATGGAATGTGATCATGTGGGAGTATGATTGAACATACTCACCAGTTTTCCTGCTTTCAGTAATCATAACATAAACAAATAATGCTCTTTTAGAAGATCTAAAAAGTGTCTTTTCGATTTCTGTTTGCTTATTATATTATATAGTTATGTTGCATTGACTAATCAGAAATAATCAAAAATTATACTATTAAGTAATATTATATAAATATATAAGTATAACAGCTTACTACATCAGACTCAATATTATTCTCATCATTTGGAAGCCCTAAATTCAAATCTCACATTAACCCTTCCAATTAGCTGTCACAATAGTCTATTAAAGGCAGTGGTAAGGAGGAATGTTACGTTTGATCGAAATGTTTTCCTATCTTTGGAAAACTTGAAGCAAGTCAGCCTTTAAAAGTTTCAGTAGAATGGTGACTCAATTCCTGCACTTTTTTGTTTTATAGACGTTACATTGAATATAATACCAAAGAAACCTGTAAAGGAAGTTGCAAAACATATTAGGCCAGAGCCATTGCAAAATATTGAAATGTCTGGCTACGAAATGAGTTTTGAAGAAAACTTGCGCCCATTTTATCCGTTATATGCAGAACATAAAGACTCTAACGGTATGATATTCTTGTCAAACGCTTTTTGTTGCTGCTTTATTTATGAGTTGACATTTAGTATACACCCGTCCATGTCGTGGTTGTTTATCTTATTTGAACAATATTCAGTTTGATTCTTTAGCACTTTTTAATTTTCAGATCAATTCAGAATTAGTCGGTAATTATGAGTTGACTTCTTTGTTTCCAGTGAACATACTAGACGTATTCATTTAATACAGGAAATTTGCGTGCTGATGCACATTTTAATTGCTTCAGTATTAACATGTTTCAATGTACTTTTTAAGATCGAAATATTTAAGATGAAAATAATAAAAGAAAAAAATGAATTTCCTTTTTTCATCATAATTCAATATATTTGGAAAATTTGTACTTATGTAAGAAATTTTTTTTCTTCTTTTTTTGTGTTTCACTCTTTTTATTTTCGACCTTAAAGAAGCTTCTAGTGCATTGAAACATGTTAATATTGAATTGTAAAATAAAGGAAGACACTCAAAATTTACATTTTATCAAATAACAACCAAAATTAAACGTGGAAATTGTTGAAAATTTTAATATATAAATTATGAGTCATGGATGTTTTGATGTAATTTAAGAATATATCTCTAGTCCAGTCTATTTTTTTTTCAGGAAAATCGAGCTCAAATGGATGAGTTTCGAACATTGCGTTTTGTCTATGGCTAAATGTTTCATAATATGTGACAATGTAAAAATTGTTTAATGTATGGGAGTGACTGGACTATTATAAATTCATCACTCTCACCTTATTTTTGTGATACCATCAAATCTAATTAGATCACCTCACTGGATATTGTTACAAATATACTAGCAACCGATTTACATATTGCAGTTGACTAAAAACAGACATTCCATATTAATTAAAATAAGGTGGTTGAGCGAATTTTTCCTAGAAGTCCTGTATTTAGCTACTTCCCTGCAAACATTATAGTTTAGTGAATTTGGGTAAGACTACTCTAAAAATTTTGCTTAACAAGTTTTTTCAGCAAAAAACTTTTCCAAATTTTAACTTGAATTATAATTTAATGTTGGTTTATTTATATTCATTAATATCTACTACATAGGTAAACATTATGGAATCTTTTATAGTAGTTTACGGAAAAATACTATATTACTAAAAAAAACTGGATATTAAATGATACAAAATCTTTTTGCTTCTTCACTTCTATATAATGATATCAAAAATAAATTAATGGCTGGGTTTATTATATATTTCAGATAAATTATTTTTTACAAATAGTTTTTTACAAAAAAAAAGAAAAGTGAGTTATAAAAAAAACAAAGTCAACATAATCATAATAAACAAATAACTAATCAAAGGACTTAAAAAGAAAAATGGAATATTGATTTGTGAAGCTTACTTTCATTTCTTTTTATTTCCATAACGGAAGTTTTTTGCTTCGTTCGACGTAATGAAATAAGTTCCTTTTTTCAGTGAATAATTAAAGGGAATTTTATTGCTTATAAATGTTATAATAATAATTAGAGAATTCATAGTCAAGTTGCTCTTTTTCGTCCACAGAAGAATAAATTAGGGTAGGTTGAGATTGTTGTAGATGAGAATTTGATGAATTGCACAATTACTGTAAGTCGAAAGAGAAGAAATTTAAGTTGTTGGAATAATCTATGAATTATTTCTCCCTTATATAACGCAATTGTTTACGATAGTTTGTAACTGCAAATAAATTTCACTGTCTGATTGGAAGTTATTTGCATTCTAAACCATTACAAATGAAAAAATTCTTTCGAAACACTTTCATTGATGGCTTAAAAAGTGAAAAATAATGACTTACCACCTTATTTATAATTTTTCAAGTTAAATTTAAGATTTATTATCTTCTATTCAAATGTTCACGTCCTTATTTTACCAATTTCGAGATATCTTAATTATAACAATAACAAATCAATTTGTATTAAAAATTATTTCGGTTTTTTTGGCAATCTCCACTTACTCCATTTTATGCTTATAATTTGCATATTTATTTCGTAAAATGAAAAAGGCTTAATAGCAAATTTTGATAACGGTATAGCCTTTTATCTATAATATAAAAGGGTCATTTTTATTTTATTTAATAATCTTTCCTTAATCGTAACGACGTGAACGTTAGATTCGGCCGTGGACAGACAAACGTGAGCATTTTGTACACGTTTATGGGATTTAGCTTTATTCTTTTTTAGTTAGCTGTTTTCTTTTAAAGATATTTTATCAGATATTTCAGAGTTAATAAGAAGAAGAGTGCATTTATCAAGTGAAATAATGACGTTAGTGATGTGTTCATTGTTATTTTCGTTTTGGTAGACTGATTTTGAATTCATGCTTTTTTTTTTTTGATCGCCATAGAGCTCGTTTCAAGTTATAAATTGTTGACTTTAGGTAACTATAGCAAAATATTCAAAAAAAAGAAAAAAAAAAGGAATTTGACATTTGTGTTCTTGTGTTCATGATTGTTAGATTTATTAAAATAAATGTAAGAGAAAAAGAACATAAGTAGTTGCAAAACATTAAGATAAAAAGGATTTTGAAGATATACTACTAATTCATTCTTTTCAGTTCCGTAATGGGAGACACGGTAAGCAAAAATTGAAGTAGTAAAAGTATCGCGTATGCTTTTTTCTTTAAAAAAAATTAAAAATACTTGGAGTGGTAAAAGTATCTCGTATGTCAAAATGATGAATGCAAGGAATTTGAAGATGGAATAGCAATTCGAGATTTTCTATGTGAAGAGTATTTGTCACACATGTTATCTATAGACAATGGGAGATTTGGGTAACGTATCGATGTATGACATATCAATGTATGGCACTGATAAGAGGAATTTAACTAGAAAGGAGCGGTTGAGAAGACGTGCCAGGAAAATGATCAAAGCTGGCCTCAAAGAGGACGAGTAAATGATATGTTGTTATTCATCCGATCTGCATAGCCTTTTATTTTATTTAGGAGCAAGGAGAAGCAGTGTTAAATTTTCTTTTACCATTTACCATTATCATCTTTACTATCTTCCGTAAACCGGAACCTTACCATTTCTGTTCTGCAGTAGTGTTGATTTCCCTGAATGCTTTGGGATTGTTTCAGATGCTATTGTTGTTCACTGGAAGGTTCACCCACAACGGCGTGCATAATTATCGCCGGAATAGTCTTCCTTATCATCTTTTGCTTGATAATGTTTGCATTATTGAGTGCTGGTGTCGATTTCGAGGCAACATTTACGGAACCTGGCATGCAATTTTGAAGCGAACAGCAAATCACGGTGATTCAACATGTTGTTATGCTCCAAAAAATGAACTTGTGTATTTATCTTCAGTTGTTTTGATTAGACTGTAGCATTCCATCTTTTCAACTCTCTACCTTTTTCTTGACAATTCTTTCTGTTAAGATCTCAAGATTTGAAGTGTTCAAATCTCCTATCAGTTTCACATATTAGTCCCAAAGCACCCAAATTTTCGTCTGTTCTTTGTTCCCACCGTCCTGCAGATATTCTTAATATTACCAATCATATATCGATTAATATTAATACAGGACTGACGAGACTTTGCTGCAATCTTTACCTAGTAATTTTGCGTTTCACAAATGTTTTACAACATAACCTTCAGTGTTCGTCTTCAACATCTAACAACTCAGTTATAACCGGTATCACTTCATCCTTGCTTTCAATAGTTTTCAACTCACGTTTCTCACCAAACAACATTGTCCTCTAACGTTTCTCCCGTTTCAAACACCGTAACTCCCCATGATTTAATAATATTTCCGTCTTTCTCACTAGCAAATGTAGCAAACCAACTTGCAGAGTACTGGAGAGATGCACTGCACCACCCATTGTCACTACTACTTCCTTCTTTTTCAGTGTTTCACTGAGGTTCGTCCTAAGTAACGACCGAATGAGTGACTGGAGGATTGATTACTTACTCATACAGTTAGTAGCACTCTTTTCCATATTTCTCAGCTCGGAACAGATTACTTTTCCCATTACACTGTCTTATATTTATGTATGTTATTCCTTTAAAGAATTAAGACTTGTTTTTTCTTGACATATTTCTATTATTTTTGCTCCATTACAGTCTCCATAACTTGTCGTATTAATATATCATGCTAAAGGAACTATCGTTTCTATCAATGAATGATTGTCGTCAACTTTCTCCCTCAATTCACATCAATCATGTGAGACAACTGATTAACCTTACATCACCCTGAAAGATCTCATACATTTGAAGTTTCTTCAGTACTGTGCTGAAGATTTTGCTATAAACTGAACATTCGATGTGCTTCTGTTGATTCAAGTTATGACTAAACACTCAGCCGGTTCCCTTTCAAAGTCTCATTGTTTTAATGACTGCAACGCTGAACGAGTATGATGAGGTTACCCATTGGCAACATATCGAAACGCATTCTCCAAATATAAACATTTCTATTTATTGTTACCATTGCCTTCTCTATCGATCTGCCAACTTTTCGTATGAAATTTCCAGACTTTCTAAGCCAATGTAGGTGAAGCTAATGCATCCGTAATGTTTCCTGTTTTATTGAAGAGAATGGATCATAGTGAGGCCCACACTGGAACTCCGGAATACCTACTCAGGGAATTCATTCTGCTGTGCATGTCATTGTCAGCTTGGCCATATATTCTTGTTCACACTGGCTTTACTATTCTAAGCCTTGCTACAGATGTCCTTCATAAGACACAACAGAACTTGTCACAGTAATACTACATGATACTTCTCGTTCTTCTCTAAATCAGTCTCTTTTTTTCTTCCCAGTGAAGCGAAGTGTATGCAACCTCTAGATACCTCCTTCATTCCTTCAGTCTTTTCAGTCATTGTAGTGTTATTAATTGTGATCTTAAACTGGGAGTCTCTTTTCTCTCATGTGATTTGTTTTTTGTTCAGATATCAAAGAAGGTTGAGGGGTATTGAAAGGATGAGAGGAATGTCTTGATACTTTCATTAACATTTAATAGGACTTTCATAACCCGGATTTCTTAGATCTAAACGAGAGAAATGGGTCGAGACGTTGCAGTTCTCCAATTTCAGAGATACTACTGTGGTGTGCTTTAAAGTAATTCTGGCGAGTGCTTTATGGCAGCAGTAACCCATCAAAATGCTCCTTATCATCAGGTATGTCCCACTTGTTGCACTGTGAAGTAGGTTTCTGTTTGAAGAAGTTTCAGTTACATTATTTGTCCTTAAATTTATTTGAAGTTTTGCTTTTCTCTGTTGTTTTTCTTGGATTACTTTGCGTTTGTTTTGTTACAGTTAGTAGAGGAGCAAAGAGCCTATTATTTTTCGGGGATTACTGCTAAACTGGAACACCGTCGGAAGCAGCTTTTAAATCTTAAGCAGCTTCTGACTGAGGAGGGTGATGTTCTTACCAAAGCTGTGTACAACGATCTTAAACGAGTAAGTGTTTTAAAATATGACAAATTCCATCAAGAATTTATGGCTAATTTAAAAGAAGGAGTTAATCTCGTGCAAATACTTTAATTTTCCTCTGTGTTTATTTGTTTATTGTTTGTTTTTGCTTTTCTTTTAAGCTTTGAGATACTGCAATCTTAGGTCATCATATACAGAACTCTGACTGGGAAAAGTTGTTCTTCTATAGTACCACGAAGTACTACATGAGGCCGAAAACCCTAAACTAGATGTATAGATTCCGAAACTAATTTTATGGACGTCATTGTTGTGTTGCTTACTATCCATTCTTCCATCCTTTAAATTCATGTCTTCTGTAACATCAACTTTTTTCTTTTATATCAACTTTTTCCAGTCACCAAAACTAACACATAGTATGGAACTAAGTCCAGTTTTCGTCGAGATCGATTATATGGTGGATAATTTAAAGCAATGGAGTTCACCTGAACCAGTAAGTTATGAATTCAAAAAGTCCGGGTAATAAAATGTCTAAGAATAGCGACAGATAAACATTTGTGCAATTTTACTCCTCATTTTTTCCATACTCCGAAGTGTTGGGAAAATTTTCAGGTCAGAAAAACTTTCTTGTCTCTTCTAGACACCGTAGCTATTGTCAAGGAGCCACTGGGTGTGGTCCTTATCATTGCTCCATGGAACTATCCGTTATGCCTTGTTTTATTACCTTTAGTTGCAGCAATGGCTGCCGGTGAGTTATTGAATAATAGTCTTGGTTATTGAAAAGTTTTACTACAACTTGAACAGCGTCATTTTCCCTTCTTGCAAAATGAAGTTTTACTTTTTTTTTTTTCGGAGTACTGGAATTAATATGTGGGTTAAAGATTATTTGATTTTTTAGTGTAATTTTATCTGCATACTAGCATTTTCAAGTCTTCATTTAGTGTGACCACATTCCTGGGATATCACACACCTTGTTTCAGACATTATCGTTATTTTTGTAAGTTTTAGGTAACACGGTGATAGTGAAACCATCGGAATATGCACCTTTTACGTCTGCAGCATTACATGATCTTTTTTCACACTTTTTTGATTCGGTGAGCTATTAAATTTGAAAAAATTTGGTATTATTTTAGATCCTAAGAGATTCTGGGATGGATGAAGTTAATAAAGAACAGTGATTTGCTTGTATATGGGGTATCAGTGTTCTTGAATTCTAGAATACTTTATTTGAATGGAAAATTACAGAGGTTTTTGGCGGTAGTGAATGGTGGGGTTGCTCAAACAACGGATCTGTTGAAGGAGAAGTTTGATCATATCTTATACACCGGAAATTCACTTGTTGCTAAGATTATTATGACGGCGGCTGCGCAGCATCTTACACCAGTTACACTTGAACTGGGTGGAAAAAGGTCCAGTTTATATTTTGAAACTGTTTACTAAATAGCAAATTTTGATCGATTTCAAGGATAATATTGTATCATCCAGTTGATTTAAATATTAAATTTCTCCTTGAAATATTCTATTTTCGTTCGTCCAGTTATGTTATCCCAGCGCCAAACTATGTTTTACTTTTAGCCCAGTAATCGTCGAAAGTGATACAAATCTGGAAGTAAGCTCTCGACGTATTGTTTGGGGAAAGTGGACTAATTGTGGGCAAACTTGTATTGCACCGGATTATGTTCTTGTTACGGAAACATTGAAAACAACACTAGTAAATGAATTCATCCAACGATTAAAAGAATTTTACAGTACGGAGCCTGAAAAAAGCGAAGATTACAGCCGTATTATCAATGAGAAACACTTTGAGTATGTTATTGAAAGAATTCTTGCTTCGAGATTTTACAGGATCTTCACAAAAAATTTTGTCAGCTTTACTGTGTGTTTTTTTGCCGTTTTATTTGCCCGTTATTTTTTAATGTTAAACGTTTTTTTTTCAGTAGACTATCCAGTTTGCTTTCACGTAGCAGTGGACAAATTTTGTACAAAGGTGGCGAACTCAACCGCAGTGACTTGTTTATTCCTCCAATCATAATTGCTGTATCTGCAAATGATGTGCTGATGGAAAACGAAGTCTGCTTTTTCTCTTTCTCTTTCCATACTCCTGTTTTCGAGATTTTTTTTTATATTCTTTATTTTATCGAGTGGATTTTTGATATCTATATACATTTAGATATTTGGTCCCATCTTGCCGATTGTTACTACCAGTGGTTTCGATGAAGCAGTCAGCTTTATTCGATCAAGAGAAAAGCCACTTGCTGTATATCTTTTTACCGGATCTGAAAAGAAAGTGCAACAGTTATATGCAGAAACGTCAAGTGGTTCTGTGACTGTCAATGATGTTACATTTCAATTTATCAGTAAGTTTTGCTGAATACACGATCTATACGATCAAAAAATATGAAAAAAATTTCTGTGCGTTCTACGTCTTTGAAATTTATTTGAATTTTAATGGTTCTTTCAAATTTATGTATTTTATAGTTGATACTCTTCCATTTGGCGGTGTAGGCCAAAGTGGTATGGGCAGATATCGTGGCAAATTTGGTTTCGATACATTTACTAACCATAAAGCACTGTTGATAAGGGGTTTCTTTGCTGATGCTTTGTTTGCGTAAGTTTTGTGCAAGCAATATTTTGCTTCCTGACACTTGTTACATTTGCAAAACTCTTCTCAGTAGATTTTTTTCTTAATACCTGATAGTAAGATATTCCAAAATTTTCATAGAAATTTCAAAATTAAGGTGCTCTTAATTCGATATTAGTTTATAATTGTTAGTGCATATTTCGATAGCGCTCTTTAAATTTTAGTAACTGTTAACATTCTCCTAATTTTAGACATTTCAAAGTATAGTGCATTATTAATTTTAGCATGCGATATCCGCCATTTACCGACAAAAAATTTAAATACCTGAAACTGCTAATAGAACGAAGACGTCCATTACCCAGTTCATTTCCGGGTTGGCTTATTCGTATTTCATTCCTCGTTGCCGGGGTTATCTTTGGTTTTGTGTTACAGGTATATTACCTCGTTATAAATTTTAATTAAAAAATCGTTGGTAATCTTCATGGTGTGCCCATATTAAATCTTTAACTTGATTTAATCTTGACTTTAATTCTTAATATAATTAGTTGATCGTAACATCTTCGTCCCACTATTCGTTCCAATTTTTCAGCAATGTTCTCGTTGTTAAGTTTCTGATAATCTTAATTCACTTAAATTTTCGCATTGCATTGATGCTGTCTATCTATAAAATTATTTTCTGAATAGTCAACTTTGTTATGTGCATTTGAATATTTACTTATTTTTTTCAGCGCCACGGAATTTCCAGTATAAACGATGGATCCCCGTAATATACGGTAAAATAATTTCAGAAATGTAATTTGAGTATTTTGAGAAGTTTTTAGATTATTTTTATTCCAAAACTGAGCAAGTGCACTCTTACCTTTTTACAAACAGGTTGAAACTTTTTGGATGTGATGATTTATATATAGCATTTTAAATATGTTGCTATGGAATAAAAGTTTTGCTCATATTGAAAGCTTCTCAATTATTCCGATAATTCAAGTGGTTTAAAGATTGTGCTGGTCAAAATGTTCTTGCTGAGTGGGCTTAATTGATGTGCATCATTTCTCATCATTGTAAGGACATCAAGGTTGACAACATTTATTACCTGTGATAGCTGATTGTAGAAGGTGTTCTAGGTGACAAGATGAAGAGAGAGGGAAGGGTCAGTTGGGTCGCACGAGGGGTTGTGTCGGACAGAACAGAGTGGTATTGATACCACTGGTCAATATGATGTTACACCCACCCGATCAGCTTCCAATTCTACAATGCTTTCCTCTTTGTCATCTTCTCTGTTTTCCCTCCAGAATTGTTCACTGGTACCATTCTATACAACCGTTCTCTATCCACCTAGACTTCCTTTTTCACTGACTTCAAATACTCTTTACTCTTCCCTGTTCACATATTTAATTAAACCTTATGGAAATGATTTTTCGTTTGCAATAATCATTCCTTTGGTCATTATTATTCGGAAAGTTCCACAAATTTAACAACCGATAAATTAATTTGCACTTCAAATTTCGGAAGTTAATTTGATCGGTGGTTTAGCAATCCATCTTATTGTCATTACAGTCAGACATTGACGTGTGTAAATAGTAAGTGAATGTTTCAGAAAAGGTTCTTGGTTCGTCTTAGTACTCTAAAGCCAGCATTATAACTTTACAGTTGGCTATTAATGATATCAACGAAATGCTATCCATTCCCGAAGGAAGAAGACTCACATGCCAACCTTTGTCATCCACCATAGACTCCGTTAATTTACGTCTCTGCTTTTGCTATTATATGAATGGTTGAAACATAATTCATTTCCTTTCCTTATTATTTTTTTTTGTGCATAAATACAAATCAGGTTAATGTCCATAATTAGCATAATAAATGTTGTTTGAATCATTTCAGCTAAGTCACAATATCCTTCATTCTCGATATTGCTTTCTAATTGCAATTCATTGCTACTATGTAAATCTATTCTGCAACTGGTACTATCGGAAAAGTTATCCCTTCCTCATTATTTCTTCTATAAACTATCACCCGCTAATACCAAAATGAAATAACGCCTAATATCATATACGGAAGAGTTCATCATATATTGATAGCATATAACTAATTTCATATCATTCATAACTGCAACTTACCTTTCAATACTAGTCATCGGTAATAATCATGTAAGTATAATTGATTGGATATTATGTGCGAGCTTCTTTGTTGATACTTCAAGATTAGCTAAAATGAATATTTGAAGTAGCAAAGATTGTACACAAACATCTCTGCCAACCTATTTTTGATTTATGTTTTTTCAACATCTGCTATGCGACACTCCACGACAAGATGATTCCAGCAAGTGTCATCTATTGTTTTAGCAGAGATGAGTAGGAACGCCCTTCTTCACAGCCATGATGAATTAATTAACCCTTTCCCTAACAATTGATAATTCTTGCTGTCTTATTCGTGACAAGATAAGTGCAGTAAATTACATGAAACATGAGCCATGAAGTTTTCTGAAGTCTCTGTAGATACCCCACTGAGACTTTTTCGAAAAAAAAAATGATGTAGGGCCTAATTACCAATGACTGTTTGAAATATCATTAATTACATTAGAATTATAATGGTGCTCATTGAAAATATTTTCTGTCAGTATCTTTCCTGGAAGAAGCCAAGTATTTCTTTTGCTTCAGTTTAATTTTATTAATTAAAGAAGAGAAAGAAAAGTAGTGGAAGTGAAAGGTACGACGAGAAATCAAACTGCATTTGAAATTAATTGTGAACAGAGCTTAACATTTTGGAAGTCAGAAGCCAGAAGTTAGTGGAACTTAAGCTGCTGCGTTGGTGACGATTGTTATATAAGGAAGTAGCTAGTAATGAAAGAAATTTTTTCTAAGTTGTAGGAGAACAAGTGATAGAAGGAGAAAGATGACAAGACTTGATCGGAAAGGGTTTGACAAACCATAACCATAGCGAGGAGGGTGACAAATCCTGCTTCTCTCTTGAAAAAGGCGCCAAACATTTTTCATATTTCTTGTCGTACTATTGAAGGAGCGTGAAAATGAGCTGGCTTGTTTGGTTTTCTGAACTTTTCGATCTCTAAATGTGTAGAACAGTGATAGTATAACATATATAAATATGTATAAGGAAAACTATGATCCTTAATCGTAAATTAAGGATCATAGTTTTCCCGCACTAATAACTTTAATATCTTTATTATCGTCACTACTGTTATTACAACTATTTTGATTTAATTACGGTAATAATAGCAAAAATAATGGAACAGCAGTTATATTCGATAGTTTATTAAAACATTATGAATTTTTCTACCTTACCTTATTTATTTTCCCGAAGTCTCTTTTTTATTATCCGGTATGTTTCAACAGTAAATCGTTCATCTTGTGCTGTGATAAAATATGGTTTTTAATTTTGCAGTTAACCGAAGGAACTAATCCGAATATGACACTGGACGATGATGATCAGACGAATTGGAATAAAGTATGAGTAATGATTTGAATTCCAGAATTTAATTGGATTCAAAAAGTATTTAGGATAATTTTTTCATCTCCATATTTGGGTCATCATCTATCAACAAATATGTGTTTCGTTTTCAGTATTAAGTGCTATGCAAAATGTCAAATTCTTTAGCCAGTGATGGGGTGAAAAGTCCGTACATAAAAATTTTTTTTCAATGAAAACAAAGACGCTAACTTCCAAGAATAAGAAAATATTTATGATTGTAAGTAATAAACAATAGTGGGATTATTACAGGAAAATATTCCGATCAATGAAGACAAAGCAACATGTTGGCAAATTTCACAAAAAGTAATGCAGGAAATAAATCAAGAAATTACTCGACAAGTCCTCTCCGAACTTACAATAAAAAATTCGGATGAAAGCGATGAAAATGATGGAGAAGTTTGTACTTTAAGTAATTTGAACAAATTGCAATATGCTATCTACCCTTGCTGGTCATTAGTTGTCATTTTAAGATGATTGTTAATTGTTAATTTTAAAATTGTTGTTGTTGTTAATAATTTTCTTCACGACACAATTCGCATATAGAATCTCGATTATGTACTGAATGAAATTAATGTACTGAATGAAATTAATGTCGGAACTAAAAGCAAAAAAGTATCTCAAGATAAAATATTTAAAAAAGTATTTTATTTGTTAGACACAGTGATTTTTATTTGGTTCAAGATCTGCTATATCATTTTTTTCAATGCATTACATTAATTTTTTTCCGTTTTAACTAATTTATATCCGAGAACTAAATAATACATCTAGTTGAGACTATATCTTGAATTTGGATAGTTGAATTATGCAAAATTATGAGTTAGTATAATGTTTTTATCTATTTATAATTTGGGTGACGGATTACTTGCTATAAAGAAATCATGGACTTTTAGGACAATGATCAGCAAAGTTCAGACATTCATCAATCATCCTTTCCAGCCCGGCGAAGCGATTATTTCTCGCAAGTTTTTGATTTTCACTTCAAAAACTTTTTAGGTATAATAGTGTAGAATGCTTCAAATTAATGAATTAGGCAAAGTGATTTGCTAAACAGCCAGATCTCCTTTATAGTAAAATATTTTATTTAAATTTAACTTGACAGTTTAAACACTAAATCAATCAGTCCCTGAAGGTTGAATTGATATAAATGAATTGCCCAACTGACAATGCTGACTAATGCTGAATTATGTTTTTCTTATTTCCCGAGAAATGAGGTTTGATGACTCTTTACTAAAAACTTGAAATTCGATTCAAAGTATTGCAGGTTATCAGCTTTGAGTAGTTCATAAATTTGTCATTTATGCCATTCGTTACGCTGAAATATAGATAGTATGCCAAAATTAATTTGCAAATTGCACCTCCATTGATCTAAATAAGACAATTATTATTTTCATTGGCGAAAGATAATTGAAATCTTATGGCTCGCAGGTGTAAATTCTATTCATTTTCTATTCATCAATATTTTTTTTCTTACCACATATTTTTTAGTGATTTTCAAGATAACGAATCAAATGCTAATGGATCTAAACAAGAACAGACTAAAATAGTTGGTCAGTACGAATGTTCTGCTGACGATACATCAAGTAAAGATTTTCATTCCATTAAATCTGGTGATCATATTACAGTTTTAGCATTTAATCTTCAAAGTTTTCAAAACAATTTTTAGCTTCAGGAAACATTTAAAAACCACAAATGAAATGCTTTTTCAATAAATACTGTTACATTCGATGCAAAAGCATAGGTGAAGAAATGGAGAAATCATTTTGCTCCGGTGAAGACTGGATATTCTCTGGAAAGATGCTACCGCAATATGTTCAATCAAAACGGAAACCGCTACAACAATACAGAAGAACTGAATGCAGAAGCATCGAGTTTTTTGGTCAGCTATTGGGACTGGATGAAAAAAAAATACAAACAGTTTTTGCTTTCGATCTTTCAAAAATATTTTGTAATTTACAAGTGGTGCACATAAAACTGTGATGTCAAAAGACGATTTCCTAAAAACAAGTAATAATAAGTGAAAATTTCGTGAACTACTTGTAACTTTAAAAAAAAAGAAAAAACTTCAGCAATCCAAGAATGTACGATATAACTTTTTCTATTTAGCAGGAATCTGAACAGTTTTCATTTTCATTTTCACATTTGAGTTCTATTATTTTAGAAGAAAGAGAACGAATAGCAGTAAGTAAAGGTAGCGACAATGAAAGACGGAGTTGTGAAGGTCTCGATGAGTTCATTACACCTCCATTATATACTATTCCAGGAATTGAATTAGAATGTAAACTGGAAGAATGTGATCCGAAAACTTTATCTGTAAGTGAAATCTATTCTTTGTAAAATAGGTCTGCAAACTTGTCATCTGTCACTTCATGGTTTGCTTCACATTGCAGAAAATCATACTACCGAAAGTGCAGGTTCAAAACGAGCAATTTTGTGGTAAAGTCGACTTCAGTAACGACTGAAAATTTACGAATATCGCTGCGAGTAACATAATATTTCTAGAATTTCCATTATTGATGATTATGATCCTCACAAATACTACTTATAATTAGTTGGAACTATTCAATAGTTGTAATATTCATGTAGTCCTTATGCAATTGTTATTGATGCTTTACGAGTTTCCCAAATTTTGAATGCTGGACGGTGTATCTTCCACTAGATTTTTCATTACTCTGTTTATTTTCCGACAAAACGACTTTATATTAAGCCTAGCTAAATATCGGTATCTCGGAAGGAAACCTAAGATAAAGTCTTTAAATCACGCCATTCCAGTTTGCTGGTAAAAAGGTTCTAGTGGAAGAAAAAGTGGGACTCGTTCCTAAATTTCAAAATTGTTTATGATATTTTTTCTTGTTTATGGAACTTTTGTCGTTTCCTATCTTTTAAATATGACTTTATTCACTTTCACCTTTGGGCTGTAAATTCTAACTTATTAAAAATTATTAGTGTTTATCATAGTTAACATTCATATTTTTTACTAAATTTTACTAAATATATTCTAACACAAATCACCGGTATTGATTTATATTTCTTCTACTAAGCATCTGATTCAGTGGCTTAAAATCAAAGTTCGACTTCAACATTTATGCATTTCATTTTCGATTTAAAATTGCAACTGCCGTTGACATTGCACTTTTTATTACAACGTATAAAGATTACCTGTGTCACTCCTTTATTGCCGTGAAATAACAACTTATTAAGCGGTATATTACATTAGCTATTTGAGGAGACGTTTGTATGGAATTCCTCATTGATATCTCTTTGCAATGTTCTTGAAAGCTTCAAGAAAATTAAAAATCTGTTACGTATGTTAGGCAGTGCAGGACAGTCGAATCGTGTGATTTACTTCAAGAAATCCAAATGCATTCCCATGCAAGATTTATGTTCGCCTGTCATCGGTGATTTATTGCTATTGTTTTGAAGATTTGAACGCTGTTCAAAAATTTACGTAATTTTGTGAAGGATTTGGGTGTGAAATTTCTGGTAAGTATGCAATATTAAGTATTCGGAGGTGTTATGTTGTTTTACATAGTTCATTTCCTTGACGGAAGTTTTCTGTTTTACATATAATGAAAAGGGGAAAATTTTCTAAACTGCGACATATTTTTAAAATGTGTGTTTAATTCATAGTTAAGAATTGAGGTATAAGGAATCTTCTGCTAAATTTAACTAAACTCGGCTCGAGGTTGTGCAACTGTGGACTTACTGAATCTTACGGAATATTAATTATTATCAGCAATATTTCTATCTATATTTATTTATGAAATTGTGAGAGTATAGTTTTTGCTAAAAGGAAGTTTAAATTGTTTTTTTTTTTTCTTTTGCTAAAATAAAGTTTAAAATTTTAGAAATCCGATGACGTTAAGCTTTTGCTAAAATAAAGTTTAAAATTTTAGAAATCCGATAACGTTAAAAGAAAGAGGAGAGGAAATCGTGAATTCTGTAATTTAAAAAGGACATTAAGTGATTAAGGGATGTGCTGAATAGTCATTTGAATGCTTTGTTGTTATTGTTGAATGTTTTCTTGAATTAGAAACGAAGTTCCTAAATTGGTTCCCAATTTATTCCAGCCACTCGGAAATGGTGTTTACATCGTTTTACTTTTACTTTTTTATTTACTGATTTCGAATTATTTAAAATGCTCTTATGAAGGTTTACTGCCCGTTTGGTGGCTTCTCATTATTTCAAAAGCAAACACTGAAATGATTGTTTATTTTTGCTCTTAGTATAATTTTGCTAACTTTTTGGTCTTCCTTAAAACTTTCTATTTTCATATTTCATCTAGTATTCCATCGTCGGTTTCATTAAGTTGTGGTTGCTTCATTAAAGATCACGAATTTCACTACTAATCTCAATCAGGCAAAGTTTCTATATATTGTGTGACCAAATACACATTTTGCCAATAAAGCACTGATAATGGAAGTCATTTCGAGCTTTTTCAACTTAAGGATTACCTATGTAGCAATAACTCTTTGAGTTTCACTATGTCGTATTTGCTAAGGCATTCTAATATATTGATTGCATTTAAGCCTTTACAACTTTTATAGATGTCATGCGCAGAGGATGCTTTCTTCACTCTCTTCTTTAATATGATACAGCGCCCTGGTAGATGAGGAACTATTTAGACATTAAAAAGTGTCATGTGAGGCTGCTGATTTCATACCCTTACAGATTCCTTCTTTTTAAAAATTTTCCAATTGAAAAGACTTTCAGAAAAACATGTTGCAACGATCGAGAAATAGCTTAAAGATTTTTAGCATGACCGATGGTTCACTTCTTTATTTGTTTTAAGATTTGAGAAACACGTTTGCAGTTTTTCGAGAAGGCCAAAGGTCAATGGTTGTTTGCAAAATGGGAAAACAATTAAGATTGTCACATTCCATTCATGTCGTCTCCATGTGCGTGTATGCAGGAGAGCAACATTTACTCATCTCATCAACGCTCTTTAAAAATGGAAGGAGGACAGCGGACTATCAATTCAGTGACGTGCATTAAAACTGAAACCAGATCTTCAATCCTGTCTTCTTACATCATGCTGTTGTATCATTTTCCGCATTCTTGTCCATTTTATCCACTGCTGATTCTGCTTCAACTAGAATCGAGCTGAAGATTTCAATTTCCAAGTGCTATAGATGTTTGCATTAATCCAATTCATTTCCACCTTTGGAATTTTTCCCCAAATACTCATGCTAAGGTATAAATAAAGTCTTAACAGCTTCTTCTACAATTTCTTCACTTCGGATAATAGATTTCAACAAGAGATATTGGATTTTAGAATAATTCTATAACAAGAGTCTGGTCTGTTTTTCTGTACTTTTGAGTTAGGTCAATCATTGGCAAGGTTTTTGGAGACTTGTTTAGTAAGTACATTCTTATTTCTAAAATTATACAAACAGCAGTAGATGAAACTGTGTCTTTTTAATTATGATGTGCAAGTTTTATTAAAAAAACTCGCAGATTATGTCCGAGAGAAATGAATTCTTTATCATCAATATATAGATTGAGCAGATTGATAATTTGAAATTTTAATTTCAATTCTTCTTTTAGAAAATTAAGTATTATCCACTTGAGCTTTTTCATTATCAAACTTTAATGTTCATAACCACTGATATTAGTAAAATATTGATTTCCTTTACTGAAAGATAGGATGTAAAAGACATTGCATGGCATTTCTTAATTTCACATTATGTTACAAACTGTCATTTACTCAACCTTTCTATATTACTGTGTCATACTTTTCTCTATACATTCTTTTTGGTTTTTCACTTATATTTTTTAAGCTGACGAGGAGAGAGCAAAAATTAGCTTTAAGCTGTTTTCAAAGGTAGTTAGAGATTACAAATTACTTGATTGCTTTAATTTCAGTGGAATACAATTGTTCTATAAAAGTCCACTTATTCATATTCTCAAAAAACAATTCCGCTTCTGACTAGTATAACTAATTTATTAATTTATAGTCTGATTGTGATAATTAAAGTTCAACGCAAAATTGATCTGTAAATCGACTAAAACTATTGAAAGCAATTAGAACGGAGCGAATGAATGCAATTAAAATCGGAAAGATTCATTAATACTGAAGAAGCAAGTGTAGCTATTAGTTTCGAGTAATGATGAATTAGAAGTGAAGAAGGATTTCAATTTTCAGTTAATCAATAAGCATTTCGATATTGTTCCTTTTCAAATTTACTTCCCTTCTACTTCGAAATTCCGTTGCCAAATATTGTGGACATTTACAATCAAATATGACAGACATATATATATTTCATGACTTTCACTTTAAATGACATCTATTCATTTCTTTTTATTAACATAACATACGAATCTAATTTTATCAGCAGTTGTGCCTCAATGTTAACATTACTAGCAGTAGCGTAGAGTCACAACTGAAATTCTGGAGGTGAAACAGTTTGAAGTTGTTAAGTAAATGAAATCAGCATGGATTATTACTTGTGAAAGCTGGTAACCGAGAAGAGACTTCCAGTACAAACAATATCTTTTCTTAAGCTGCTAAACTTGTTGATAAAGCTTTATCCCAGACTTTCTGTAATACGTCTTACCGTAAGATTTTACTAACATGTTCCACTCATGAATTCAAGGGTTCTCCTTTTGTCTGAATGAGCGCAGGTAGAAAATACTGAAGATTTAAGGAATATCGAAAAAGGCTTTTCATGCAGATCATATCAGTGGGAGAAAAATAAGCATGGAAGAAATTATCTGCACAAGGGTAATATCAGGTCACGCAAAAAGCTGTGTGCACATCAGATGACAGACGTCTGAAAGACTTTTCAAGGGACAAAAGAGATGAATCTGATATGACGTGGTACCTAGAGTAATTTTTTCATTTGGAAGATTCCTACTTTATTGTATTTCAATTTCTTAACTTATTTATATAAGAATTTATATATCATCTAATATTTTTTATGTATTATCTAATGTTTTTTTTTTATGACAAAGATTTGTATTATTTATATATTACCTAATATTTTTTTCATGAGAAAAAGTTGTCATTTATTCAGCATTGCGTGAGAGAAGCTGGAGAAATTCAAAACTTCCAACCTAACTTTTTTGAAAAACACGAAAATTCTCCCTGAGTATAAGTATTTATTTTTAAACTATAAAGCTCCAAAAAGCCAAGATTCCCGGAAGTAATAAGAAAATGATTTACATATTGAACTGAAACCAATCATGATTTTTGGCACAAAATATCTGGAGAAATATATTTTATATATAGTGATCATCCATTCCACTATGAACATACCTTCTTTATTCTACTTTGAGTTAATTCTCTCTTTCTTGTTTGGAGAACTTATTCTACTACTTCCAATAATTTATGAGAACATTTGAAAATTTCCAAATGTCGGATTTTAATAAAAATTTTTAAGCAATAAAGGGAACGAATTTATCATAAGCACCATCATAACTTCATAAAGTCATGAAGGGTTTAAGTCCTTGTTGTGAAAGT